GTCTAGTGACATTTAAGCGCAATTTCCTTATGTTATCTAAAAATAGCTCTGTCGTAGCGTAAATCAAGAGCAGAGTTAGTAAAACCATTAGTTAGTTATTAAAACGTTTTTTATTAATTTTTTTTCAGTATTTTACATGTTTTATTTACAATAGAGTTACATGACTAAAAACCATTGCGCGCCTACTGAACGTGATGACGCAGCCATTGAACGTGATGGCGCAGCTATTGAACGTGATGACGCGTGTGGTGTGGTTGAATAAAATGCCTACTAATTCGGTCCAAATTTTAATTAATTCAAAACATTTTTTGTGACCGAACGAAAGGATATTTTTGAAAACTTTCTTCGGCAATATTGTTCTAAATTATGGCAGGAATCGATTGGTACATGTTTCAAGTCGCTAAGTGGTCTGGTTGCCGAGATATGGGCCCAAAACTGCTTTTTTTCGAGGTTGTTTGGCTTTTCCGGGAAATCCATGAAAGAAACCCGGAATTTTTATGACCTATGTTCATCCTCGTAACTTGCTTAACATAATTGCTTTTGGAACTAGTCATCGATATTGCTTCGTTGAGGAGGAGATACGACTTAAAGCTGCGGACACACATCCATCCATCCATCCATCCATTCATTCATACATTCATACATCCAGAAATGACGGGTTAATAAACGCAATTCTCCAGAATGGAAATTGCGCTAAAAAGTGCATAATAGTGCGCAATATTATTAGTACTTTAAAAATTTACATTAGTTTTTTGAGAAATCGGAAGTAGCGTAAATTACTACTTCCGGTCATCGGAAATTACTCAAAATTTAACAGAAGGTAGAAAATTAGATCTTTTACTCACATGTGAAATTTTATTTATCTATCTGAAATAGTACTCAAGTTATAGGCTTTTAAAAAATTCAAAGTAGAAAAAGTACCACTTCCGGTTATCGGAAATCGCTCAAAAGTTGATACGGATCTACGATTTTGATAAAATACTTATATATGAAATTTCATCAACCTAGCTGTAACGGTACTCAAGTTATCGTGTTTACACACGGACAGACAGACAGACACACAGACAGACACACAGACATACGGACAGGATTGCAAAGCCCAGTTTTTCAGAATGGATTACGCATAAAACCTCTTAATTTTGATAAATCTGGATTGATAATTTTTGCCCGATTAAAATAAGTCCTCTATACTTCGGATGTGATGAAGGACTGAGGTGTAATACGGTGAAAATTGTTAAAATTTCAAGAGATTTTTTTGCACGATTACAATACTTTCTCTATACTTCGTATATACGAAAAAGTAAAAAAAAAAAGCAGATTAATAACACTCGCACAAATGATGTGTTGTTCGAATAAGTTTTAATTAAAAATAAAAACTAAGGATTTTTAAAAATATAATTCACATTTTAATTTAGCCCGTATTGAGTACTCTATGTTCCTATTTCGTATTTTCGTATATAGGGTCCCATTATATATATATATATATATATATATATATATATATATATATATATATATATATATATATATATATATATATATATATATATATATATATATGGGGCCCACAATTTTTTTTTTTGCGGGGTGGCCCCTCTTTTCTAGTTCCGCCACTGGACGTGTGATCTTCTTTTCTAAAACTTTGTTATTTAAGCTTATACAGCCCGATTGGAATGGAATCAGAAACAAGGCCTGATGCTTAAATCACACATATTATTTTAATACATCGCATTAATGAAATTGTTTGACGTTTACTTTACCCGCTCCTGAAGATACTTCAAAGTATTTTGTTCCTTGGCTAAACATGGTCGAGTTTTTGAATTGAATCTTCTCCTCGCCATTTAGCTTTTAAAGACTGAAAGGAGTTTTTATTGAAGAGCGTGTTATTGTGTTAGTGTATGTGTGGGTGTTGGGAGGGGGGTGGGGGGTGCGACAGACGTTAGACTACGAGACACGAATTGAGGTGATACCTGATGCAGGGGCGGCAACCCATGCATCACGCAAGGTGGGATCCTAAGTTGATGAGAGGGAGGCGGGTTTTGTGATACCTGAAGACGACACAAAAATAGGGAGTCGGGAAGCCGGTTGTTGGTCTTTTGTTAGGTGAGTGGTCATCGTGGGTCAGACCTAATCGCCCCGGCCACCACACCACAGACGTCACATTCGGGAGGGTTCGCCCGCCAGGGTGTAACAGTACCTGGGCGAGTAGGTTGAGGGGGTAAAGGGACACGACTCGTGCGGGGAAATGACAGGGTTCCAACTGGCTAATCGTTCGTTCTTCTAAAACCCCGGAAGTCACTGGACAGTGTTCGACCTGGTAAAGCTTTGACCATACAGGATGCTCACTGGCTAATTAGACCTCCTCTTGTTGACATGGCTCATCGTTTGACCGGACGTGCAGTGCACGTGCCGAGCTCATCGCGAGGATTAAATTACCCTCAGACACATGATATCAATAGACTCGTTGTTGATTTTTTTTCCCCACCAAACACAATTAACAAAACAGAAGCGAAATAACTCTCCGAGGAAACATAATATTTATTGGAGTTATCTCGCAGTATCCGTGACAACAGGGGAGATAATCACAAAAAGGCGTCTATATCTCAAACACTTTGACGCGAGATGGCAGATGAAATCACGCCTTTAAATGCCAACAAGCTCATAAATAAATTAATTAATCCCCTTGAAATAAACAAACGTGAGGGTATTGATATCATCTTCAGGTAGGGTGGGGAAAATAGTTTAATCAACACAAGCCACAAGCAAAATAAAATATTTTTACATTTCTTGAAATCGATAAGATTTTTTTTAACATAAAAACTACAATGATTTATAAATTGCCGTTTTTATTACTTTAATGAGTTTTAAGTTTTAAAAAAAAATGACTTACCCATTAAGGTAAAATAGATTGCTATGCTATTACTGAAGGCTAGTTCAAGTAGCACTAGGGCACTAGGGGTAGAGGGATTAACATTTAAATTTTAGCGAGGATTAGTACGGCTTAGGGAAAGAAGATTGGTCAATGCCAAAATGTGTGTGTATCTACACAGCAGTGTTAAAATGTGGGGCGGGGTGGGGGCAAGAAACATCGTGTGCAGTGTTACTTCCAGACTTTTTTCTCCGGAGGGCACTTGAAATTTTCGGGGGGGGGGGGGGGGGGGGGCGGACACTGTTAAAACTATATATTTTCTATATAAATTCCATTGGGGGCTCCCCTCCCCCTGAAGCAGGGTCGGCAACCTTTTGAAGCGGAAGAGCCAAAAGTTACAATTTTCAAAATTTCCCTGGTTTTAAAGAGCCACTAACATTTTTTAAATTTCAAATATTTTATTTTTTATTAAGATTATTAGTATTTGTTCAAGGAGCTGGAGAGCCGCATCTTGATATCAAAAGAGCCGCATGCGGCTCGCGAGCCGCAGGTTGCCGACCCCTGCCCTGAAGAGATACCTGGAAGAAACACTGACCGGGTGACACCGTTTAGGGGTAACACAAAATTGAAAAAGTCGTAAAAAAGTACTGTCAATGTTTTATCCACTTAACGTGTAAAGATAGCAGGTAGAGGGGTGACACCATCTCGAAAATGCTATTTTTTTAGAACCAGGAGTGGGGGGGGGGTAGGTGATACCGGACCTTGTAACGCCACTGTATCTACAGTCTGCCTTCAAACACTGAATGCCTAATGCTTTAAAAATGTGGAAAAGTTTAAACATTTCAAATTTCAGTCCATGTTCATTTTAACACTAAACTGTTAGCGAGTTTTTAAATATCTAAAACTGGCGGAATTGAAATAAAAAAGATCCAATCCACTTTAATTTTTTTTTTAAACACGCATTGTCAATTTTGATTTTTGAAATTGACATGACAGTTTTTTCCCCTTTCTTCGCAGTTCCCCTAATATAAAGCCTGCAAAGCAAACAAATTGAATACCTCTGTTCTTTAATCCTACAGCTCGGATCACCTTTCTAGACAATTATCCCAATCTGTCAGACGGACACAAAGCGCGCGCTTCATCTCGCGTTGAACGAGAGTGAGATAATGAATGTATCGTCTGATAAAACTATTTTCGAAATATTGGATTGGAAGACACTGTTTGATTGTCGTGGAAATCTAAGCCACTGGAATATGAATATTTTTTATTTAAATGTATAATTTTTCAATTTATGGTTTTTGTTTCTTTAATATTTGAAAATATGCTGTGCTATCATATGTAATTTTTTTTTTTGTTAACGTGGATATTTATATCCTGTGTGCGGTTGATTTGATTGATTTGTTGCGTACCGTCGTCTAGTGATGCTGTAAATAGATTAATCATGTACATATATACCAAAAAATTACTTTGGGAAAATAAATAAGCTTTCAGTGTAATTTCCATCCGTTCTAATGGGCAACGGGGCAGAGTTTTTATCTCAAGGCATCTCTTTAGAGGGACACCCCTTCCTAGAGGACATTTCCGACCCCACCCCGATGAAATATAAAAATAGTATAAAATTGTTTTGGAAATTTATACCTTAACCAGTGGCCACTTTTGGTGAAATATATAAATATTAAATTAATATTAAATTAAAAATGAAAAAAAATAATTAAATAGAAACTTTAGCCATTTTAATAATTTCTCAAAAAAAGTTTTCAATTCCCCCCCCCCCCCCCCCCCGTCCTTGGAGCAAAAGGTCCGAAAGAAACTTGTTGAATACATAGAGGACTGTCTAAATAGTAATACAGAGCAACACAAAAATTACATTACAATAATGTTTTTCTTACTTTTTAGAGCAAGTGGGCTTTTTCAAAAATAATTATACTAAACTATTTCTAAGATTAAGTTATATGGTCATATTTTTTTTAAAGAAAATGTATCCAAAATATTTTTTAAGTAGGCTACTCCCTTCCTAATATCTAATGCCCGATTTTACTTTCACATATACGAGCAAGTTTTACAAAAATAATCCTCAACTTATCTACATAGACTACATCTTTCCTAATTCTAATATCCGCTGCATTTTCAGGTAAAAATCTGGTTCCAGAACAGACGAGCCAGGGAACGTCGAGACAAGGGCGGCTCCCACAAGAACCACGAAGCCCTGGCACACAAGACCTTTCAGCCCCTCACCGTCCCCTCGGTCAGCTGGCCTGTTGGGCAGACTATGGCCGCGAACAATTACGTGCAATACCATAATGCGTTGGACTTCCGGTCAAGTTACTTGCCCCCCGGGTTTGGGATTTACAACCCGGGGCATGTAGCAAAGGAGGTCATGGGTCAAGCAGTCGATGAATCAGATCTGAGCAGATTAACGTCGATGTTAAATAATCCGGACAAGAGCGTCCATTTCTGAAAGAGCTATACTACAAATGTAAACTCCTAGGCTTATGACTCATCTAGTACATTTGTGTGAAGGCCTTTTAAAAGAACTGTGCTTATATACATTAACAGCCCTTCCTTTTATAATAGACGTGTGAAATTGTCAATTTCAAAGACCTCTTGTGCAATTCAATGTACAACATTAAAGTGTTTTCAGTATTGTTCAACAATGCAACTACAAGTGAGTCAAATCCCTTGTGGACATTTCAAGTTTACATGCATTCAAAGTAACGTTTTGATTTCTAATTTAAATGATCCTCTAGACAATTGTTTCATAATGAACCCATTACCACTAGAGCAGTAGCTGTGAAATAATTTAGAAAAACAATTACGTTCCAAGATTAAAAAAGAAAAGTCTGCCATGATACAGCTTTACCAACTTCAAATAGCAAAACTTCCTATGGACCATGGAAGTACCACATGAAGAAAAACCCTACTAAGTCAAAAAAAACTGTTAAGACTTCTAATTGTCTCTACCTGTTGTTGTCTATTCATGTCTACATAACTTGCCTTTTGTACATCTGACAATATTTGTCTGTGCTTGCTATTTTACCTGAATAAATTCGATTCTTAGTGTTTGATGGATACTATTTACTGGTTTTGAATTAAGTGAAACATGTAACAATCCTTATTTATTACCAACACATTTCCTTTAGTCTATGAAGGACAGTCTGACACCCAAAACTTGGTTCCACAAAATAATTTTTATTCCAACTTAAAATTCCACATTACAATAATTTAACATAGAAACTAGCTCAAGGAAACAGTTTTAATGGCAGATTTCAAGCACAAAGATTTAAAAAAAAAATCCGAATAAATAAGTCAAGTATGGGTGAAACACCAAAAGCATTGACACAATTATTTCAAATATATATATATATGTAAAGAAGAAGTCCATTTCGGGCATGGATGAAAGTAAGTTGTAACTATTATTTTACTTAAATACGTAAAGATGGTTGGTCTTAGTGTGTGTGTGTGTGTGTGTGTGAGTATGTGTATATATGTGTGTAACGGTCACAAAAGTACATTGACATTTTAATTTTAGTTGAATACAAAGTTGTAAAGATACATGGTGCTGAATAATAAAAAAATGTATAGAAAAAAAAAATCCCTTAATATAATTAGAGAACACACTGTCTAAAAAGATGGATGCCTACATCCACCAAAGTTTGAACGCTTAATAGAGAACATTATGATTTAAGACAATAGCATTCCTTTAATGTATACAAAAAAAAAACGTAGCTCAATATTTGGTTAAGTAAAACCATGTTACACATACCTGTAGTTGTAATGCTTCAATACAGAATTTTATTATAACATATTTTTCATGCTCATAAACTATTACCATCACAGCTTATTTAAAAAAAAATTTCTATAACTGCATTTTTTGTGATAAAGACAGCAGAAGTAAGCAAACTGTATGCAATAAAAGCTAAAGAAACAGATAAAATAGGTATCCATGTAGAGAATCATGCCAGTGCCAGCATTTAGCTGAGGTCAGAAGAGATGATAGCCACTCCCCTCTCATAGAAGCTGTGATCCTTGCCCTCTGTTTGATCAGCAGCAGCAAAATCTAAGGTAAAGAGCAGCTGACTTCTGGTGGCATTCAGGTAAACTGGTAGAGTTACCTTTCCTTTAGAAGGATCTGTGCCTTTCTCCAGCCTAAAACAGAAAATAGAAATAAGTATCCAACAGAAACACTGTACTAGATCTAATACAATTATGTACATAAAAGCTACCCAGTATTGAAAAAAAATGTCTTGTCTTATAGAGAGTAGGTAATATTTTTACCTGATCCATCTTAGAATGGTAAGAGGTAACTCTGTAGAGATGGTAGTAGACAACTGGAGCTTGTTATCTTTACACAGAGCTCCTTGAAGTTTCAGTCCTGAGATCAAGTACATTTTATAACAGGTTAGTAAAAAAAAAATTGAAAATAAAAATTGTTGAAAATAAAAATTGTTAAGAAACAATCTTATGGAATCAGCATTGAGTCGGTGGTTAACCCCATGAGAAATGTTACAATCAACATTAAAATAAAGTTAATTATTACTATAGGATTGTAAAAATCTAACATACCAGTAACAGAGAAACTGCAATCATCTAGTGTTGCTGCTTTAGCAGATTGGACTAGCACCTGATTTTAGAATAAAAAATAAGTTATTTTTAACACAGTGCAGTTATCAAATTTTTAAACTGTCAGTAAGATAATTAGTTTACTTACATCAAGATGGAGTTCCTCTAGAGACCAATGGTTAGCCTGGGCCACAAACTGGCGTGTTGCAGTAATGTAGGCTTCAGGAATAAATAGCCCACCAAGCCAAACTTGCAAGTTCTGAATAAAAATAGGTGAACATTAAATTAAAAGAAAAAAAAACAGTTTAAAAGCACTTTACTATAAGTCTCACACAACAAGAATGTAGCAGTTGAGTGTACCTTGAGTTCCCTGGCACCTCCCTGAGTGGCCTGTGCAATAACCTGCAGCTGTTTGACCCTCATGCTGAAGTCTGTTATCCACTGTATGACTGTCAGACCAGCAGGGACGTTGTAGCGCCTCCATGAGGATGGGATGATGCCTGACAACACAGTTTGGTGTCAATACACAGCACAATGGTATTTACTAGACATATCCACTTTTATACTTGGCAAACAAAGTAAAAAGAGATAAACTAAATCAAATGTGTCACCTTTGACCAGGTCTGCCATCATAGAACGATGATGGTTGGTTGGTTTCTTCTCTCCATCACAAACTTTGATCATGTCTTGGAGATCTCTGCGTACATCTATCAACAGCTTGGCACCAGCATTCACTTCTCGCTCAAAGAATCGGAATAGTGGATCTTTGATATTTTCTACTGTTCTCTTCATTCCACTTAATGCCTTTAAAGTGTTCAAAGCACATTAGGTAAAAGATATATCACATAAAGAAAAATAAGACCATTAACACATCTACAAAACAGAAAGGGGGTAAATGCATAATATTGATAAAGCTGGTAGCAAGCAAATTATGTTAAATTATAATTGTAGTTATGGTTTATGTATTCATTACATATAAACACTGAACACATTATATGAACGGATAGGATGGCATTTTTAAAAATAGAATAGAGCAATGTTTTTATTTATTAAAATGATCAACAGAAATCATAAAAAGCACAATGCTACCGATTTCCATAAACCTATTCATCTAACCACTACAATATAGATTCAACTTTTGTTTCGGCATTCATCAAAAAGGAGTTGAAAACCTGTTTTTAAAAATCCATAATCTCTGATTTTAGGGGAAAAAAATAAAACATTTTTGGATCACAAAATTTACACTCCCTATATGAGAAACTACGACATCAGCTTCTACACTGGTGCAGTATCTTGTCAAACCATGCTTTTATTAGTACAGTTTCATTGATATTACAGATCTGCTTGGATACAGATGTATTAAATCTATAAAAAAAAAAATTTGTAGTTGGTTTATTCCAACATTTTCTGTGATTGAATAATTTGAAGCAAAATGGAATGTGGGAACAAGAGTGAAAGCAATGATGTAAACACAATATTTTTTTTAAATCTAAGAATATTTTTTAAACTGCTTTGAATCTATAACTTCTGGAATAATTGTTGGCTCTGTCACATAGAAAAAATGTCTTACAAATCAATTTGTACCTGCTAGTACTAAAAGAAACAGAAAAAACCATTCCTTGTGAACTTCACAGATTCAGCATCTGAAAGCCTTAAGCAGGCATATGATGTCATTTGTACTTGAATAAATGAAATAAGGCAATTTTTAGGTCAGTCATCCAACAACTTGCACACTAACATTTTTGGGCCTTGTAAAAATTATACTTGATCATAACTACAGTGTTATTTAGTAAAAAGAGAAATCAACTAAAAAGGGGCACATACCAAAATTCCTTTAAAAAAATCAAACTAAAAAATTCTAACTCTAGCTATTAAATAAAAGTATCATCCCCAGTTGCACAAAATAAAAATATTTACTATAAAAATACTAGAACAAAAAATATTTGGTCTGGGATTGGGTAAAAAAGCTTGATGGTTCACAAGTTTATGAACTTTACATTACCTCTGCTGCACTTTCCTAAGTAATCACAAACAAATAATTAGAAGCTATACATCAAAAACATAATACAACACACACTAGTTAAAAATACGACACAAGGATTGCACTATCTATTATGTACAACAATAATTACTATGACAATAATTTGTATATTCAAATGTAGATTTTTTAGTATAATAAACATTTTGTAGGACTAACCTTAGGTACCAGCTGCAACCATGCAGTGACTGAGGTATGGAGGGTTCTCATCCATGCAGGGCGGCCATCTGCCATACGTTTTTGTTCATCAGGGGAAACAACCACTTCCTCCTCCAGCAGTTGCATGCGCAAGAGGTTTGCCATCATGCAGCTTCCTGAAGAATAGTGTAGCAGTAAATATTTAAAACCGTAAAATATTTCAAATGCGAAATTTTTTTTTGTTAACGTATCAGTAATAACAGACAGAATTATTTAACAATAGGCAGCTGTGTTTAAATAGCTGAGTCTTTAAAGGAACTCATTGTAGAGCTTTAGAATACACAAATGCTTATCTGAGAATAAACTTAGGGTAAAGAGGATGTTTTTAACTGATGGATTCTACTTTGTTAAGCAAATGACAGTTACAAAATAATACTAACCTTGTGTTGTGAGAAGAACTTTTTCAGCATTATTTGGCAGACCAAGCCATGATGGAGTTTGAGAACCTTCCATGTTGTCCACAAACTGAACAAACTGTTCACGCCTGACTCCATCTGGCATCAAGATGTGCTTGCCTTTAATGCCATCCAGATCATCAACCAAAATAAAGTCTCCTTCAAAACTCTTAGGTGTGAATAGCTTGTTCACAAATGTGTTTAGCAAACGCTGAAACGGCAACATTCATCTTTTTAAAATATTCTTGATATAGATGTATATACACATACATGTATGCAGACATATTCAATGTATTTATACACAGAATTACTAAGATCTATGTTGCTTCTTACCTGATCAAAATCATTGTCGATTTTACCACCATAAATGCATTGAGACAGCAGAGTTCTGATAGCATCCCAGGGAACCTTTTCTGGCGGCAAGTTTGTGCGGCCCTGTCAAAAGAAATCATGACACTGATATATCTAATAATTCCCTAAAGACTTCAATCTGAGTGCTAGCATTGCCAGTTCTCTCAAGCCTATATTTTCTACATTTAACGACAAATTTAGTGCAACTACATAAAAGTAGTAGATCCAAAAACAAAAGCACCAAAAACCAACGAATAAAATGCAAGTTTGTGCGGCCCTGTCAAAAGAAATCATGACACTGATATATCTAATAATTCCCTAAAGACTTCAATCTGAGTGCTAGCATTGCCAGTTCTCTCAAGCCTATATTTTCTACATTTAACGACAAATTTAGTGCAACTACATAAAAGTAGTAGATCCAAAAACAAAAGCACCAAAAACCAACGAATAAAATGCAAGTTTGTGCGGCCCTGTCAAAAGAAATCATGACACTGATATATCTAATAATTCCCTAAAGACTTCAATCTGAGTGCTAGCATTGCCAGTTCTCTCAAGCCTATATTTTCTACATTTAACGACAAATTTAGTGCAACTACATAAAAGTAGTAGATCCAAAAACAAAAGCACCAAAAACCAACGAATAAAATGCAAGTAATTTACTTATTGATCTAGAATTCCTAACTTTAAACATGTGTGCAAAATTATAATGAACTCTAAAGATCAATGGGTTGTTGACTAATGTTTAAACTTGGCTACTAGCTATCAACTCTTCGAATCCTTTGGGACACTACATTAAAAAAATTCAGTAAAGATGTGATATTCATTATACCGTATTTAAATAATTAGAGAATTAAAAAAAAAAGACCCACCATGGCCACAGAATCAATCCACACATCCAACATATCACAAGCCACACGCAAATCTGATTCTGTAAACTCATATTTCTTAGCCCAGCCAAGTGGTGTGTATCTCATACGTTCTTGGAGAATAGCATGGAGCCAGGCAAGCAGGAAGTACAAGCGAGCTCTTTCATTAGGTGCCTTTAAAAAAAAACGTAATTAGAGTCTTTATTTAAAAACCTAACCCATCAAAAATATATCTTGAATTTTTTAAAAATGCAACAATAATATAAATAGGACTGAAACAAGCTGTAAGCAGTGAGTTTGTGTTTTACCTTGCACATGCGGGCTGTAGGAACTGTACTGAAAGTTCTCATCAGATTGGCTGGGACACCAGGAGGAGGCTCAAACACAAAGATACGACCAGCTCTCAGAAGGTTGGTTGGTAGCTACAAAACATTAAATAACATTTTATAACAATAAATATAAACAAATGTGTCACAACAAATTTCTCCTAACAAAATTAGCCAATGGTTTTTGTAATTTAGAAGTTAACAATTGCTATATTAAATACAAATGATGTACTTACTTTTGGATTGATTTCCATAGTCAGGAAAAGTCTGAAGGAAGGATGGACTTGCAAGCTGTGTAGCTTCTTCTCCAGCTGTATCAGCCACTGAGGAGCCAGGTGGACATTCTTTAACATCACCCATCGTCCAGATTTACTGGAGGAGTTGATTACTTTATCAGCCTGTGTGAAGCCTTCAGCAGATCCTGTCAAGTTTTGTTAAGAGTAAAATAATGAGTTAATGATTTAAGAGAAAATTTAGCTTTTCTAAAACTGGTTATGAAATAACATCGCATACCAATAGCAATAGATGTAATCTGTTTATTCAGCTCTGCAGCAAGATCATCAACTCTAGAGCTAGCATCATACCCTGGCACTGAACACATGAGTACAGGTGTGGCTCCTTTAATCTAAAGTAAAGTTTTGTAGTTTTTTAATATACAGTTTACTCTTTTTCCAGTAAAACAAAAAGAGATTGATAGTAGAAATGTAGAGAATGTTTTTACGAACTCAGCATATGATCATAGTGAGATCAGAACTATGCCTACCCTCCTTTACTTTCCCAGACCTGAAACAGGTGGCCCTTAACCTGGTTGGACTCTGGGACTTCATTCTATCTCAACCCAAACTTGAGATTTTAGCATAATAATTACCTTACCACTCAACTATGCCATAACTCTTCAAAAATGTACAGAGTAGAAGTTAATACTCAACAACTAGAAATTTAAAGTAATATGAAGTGTTTTTTCTGTCAAGTTTTTAACCGTAGAGTATCAGTATTCCATTCTTAGAGGAAAAATGTTAGTGGAATAAAAAAAAACCAGGTAAATCCTTTACCTCATTTTCACAAATGGTAGCAAGATTAAGTTCTTTGGCTGTAACATGTACAAATTCTGTTCCCAAAACTTTCTCCACAAATATTCTAGCCATGGCAGTCAAGCGATCTGGTCTCAATGAATGAATCACCAACAGACCCTGAACTGACCTGGCTATTGGGGCTAAAGAAAACAAGTAAATAGGAAATAAACTTTAGTAATTAACAATCAGTGAAATAGAATATTATATGACAAAGTGGGCAGAAATTTAAAGCTTATTACCAGTTACAATCTCATTTTAAACAATTTTTATAAATTTTCATCTAAATGAAATAGCCTTTGCAAAAAGCTCTTTGAAAAGGCTTTAACTAACTCCTCTATATATTAAAGATAATACTTACACATAGGTTTGTCTTCAACCCAAAGCTGTGGAACATCTTGTTCTGGTGTGTTGCTTTCTAGCCAAGATTGGAACAACTAAAGGATGAAAATTTTCACAAGTGAATATTAAATAATTAAAGTTAAGAATTTCCCAATAACTAAGTGTGATGATGTATTTATTGCTTCAACACTGTGGCTATTTTATATTGAATATATAAATAATAATTTTGTACATTATCACTGAAGTTTGACTTGAAATAAACAATACATTTAAACTGTCTTTTTACAGTTATAATTAGTTCAACAGTAGATACTAACTTTTGTTAGTAATAAATAAAACTATAATAACATAACTTACAGCATTGCCTGTAACCTCACTGATAGCATTCCTGAAGGCAGGAAGTTTGCTCAGGCGGATCAGAGCTGCATGCTAGAAAAAAAAAGGACATGTATTATGTTAAGGTTAACATATAATATTTATAAAAAGTGGATATAATAAATGTGTATTACCTGCTGATTAGTTAGACCAGGAATAGATGAAGTTGGTTTCTCTGTGAGTAGACCTTCCTGTGATCTCATAAAGTGTTCAAATTCTGCTTCAAATGTTCCTTCACTGGAAAATAAAATTTAAATGAGTAGACATAAAATTATGATAAGAAAAGTAATTTATAAAATTGTGTTTAAACAATAAATGTGTGTACCTGGCTTGTCCTTGAAGGTGAATTCTACAAAGCTGGATAGCAAAAGTAATTCTGTCTTGATGCAGCATGCCTCTACCCACACGACTGTAGGTTTCCTGTACAAAAATTTTTCATTTATTAATTCTATGTAAAGATTCCATTCTTTTTAACTCACCTACGGTTTCTGAAAATGTCAAATGAACCAACCATAAAAAGATCCGTAGTAATCCTGGAGAGCCTAGAGCTGTGCTCCTTCATGTTAACCAGGTGTGGATTGTTGCTGGTTGTAGCATGGAAAATTTCCAAGAAAAACTGAAGAGAGTACTGATACAGGAAGTGAACCTGAAAGAAAATCAAGTCATTGTAGACATATCCAACACAGTGTGGGATAGATGGGTCTCAAAATCAGTTCCATATGTAAAAAAGTTAAGGCAGCCAGAAACTGTACTGGCCATTCAATCTATGAAAACTCTGCTTTATATTGAATAAAATGGCATCTTAACGCAACAACTAAATATATCAGGTTATTACAAATGAATTCAAGAGGAAACCAATTGTGAATCTACCTGCTGCAGAGCCTCAAGTGTGAAGTAGATACTGGAGCAGCTCATAGCGAGAGGTTCATATTGCTGGGACACAGTCTCTACCTCAGCCATGACAACATCTGTTTCCTCCACTTTCTTGGCCACTTCAGCTGCTTCTGTTTTTAGTGTTTCAAGGTGACTCAAGATGCTGTAAGTAATTAAATAGAACAGTTCAGCGTCAACATCAGACTAGAAAAATGACAGCAATGATAAACCTAAAAAAAGTGTGTTTACCTGTCGTCATCTAGAATCTTTCCTTTGACATCATTCAGAGATTGCAGCAAAGACTTTTCAAGTTGTCTCAGACGCAGTTGGAACTCGCCTGTTTAAAAACAAAATTCTAAGCATAACTGACATAAGATTAAATCTTTTTTCCTTCCCTTTCCTCCTTCTTGATCAATCATATTTAAACTTTAAAAAATTATTTTCTACCATACCTTGTAATTTCAAAAGATCTGAACGCTTCTCATCAACATCTGGTCTCTCTGCTTTAAGCACCTATTATAATTAAAGAAATCAATGTAGCTATGTAAATATTAAACATAATGTAAATGCATAATTAATTCCAAAAAATACTAATCTCAAAAGTTAAAAATATTTAAGATATTTTAAAAGCATAGTTTAGTCCTATAGATATTGATCATACCTGATTGAGGCACTGACTCTGTAAACTGCTACGGGTAACTGTAAAGTTGACAAAGGTGACACGAGAGCAAAGGTCTGGTGCAAACTCCACCTGAGCCAAACAATCATTTTATATTTTAATGCATGAAACTTAATCTAAACATACAAAATTATAATCAACAGGGGAACTGCAATTTTAACTTGGGAACAACCAAAGTTTTAAAAAGTAAAACAAATAGAAAATAATGTATCAGTAAACTGATTTTTATGTCTTGATATGAACCAATCTAAAAATGAGCAGACATACACAAGCTTACATTAGGATCTCTGGTAGTGAGGAAGATGGTGAATGATGGAGACAAATCAATGTCCTGATCTCCCAGTGAGATCAACACACGGCCACCTGTTCTTCTCAACTCCCTGTTCAACACTGGGTTCAAGATGGGATCATAGTTCTCTACATCCTGTTTAATATTGCACAAATCAGTAATTCAGCGGAGGACAAGGTGTGATGAAAGCACTAAAAATATTTTAATAGTAAAGATAGACTAAAGATGTATATCATTTGATATTTATTTGATTCACCAAGAGTAATAAAAATCTATAGAGCATACCTGTACCAATAGTGGGTTACCAAATCTCAATGCACTCTCTAAGTTTTTACGGAAAGCATCATCCAAAAAGCTGAAACATTTAATAAAAATGATCACTGGTTAAAACTATTAAATACCAGTAAACAAAACAATTACCATTAAATAAAACAATCATCTTAAAAAAAAAAACAATGTAGGCATTTGCAAACCTCAGCTGTAAGATTTTAACAGACTGTGGCTTCAAAAATGTCAAAATTATATATGACAAGCTTAAAACTTGACACGAAATTACTTCAACATGCAAGTGATGGCGGCTTGTCATTTTATTCATGCAATATGTTAGCGAATCATAATTTTTCTTTCATCAGGTAAATTCTTAGAAATGAATCTGTCAAAAATTCAAAATACCACCTATGCCCATAAGCTTTTGAGTGAAAATTGTATTCTAAATCTTTACCTTGTTTTGGTTATTTTTCTCTCTCTGAATTCATTCATGATGAACTCTGTAGCTTGGCCAGATGGATCAATGATGAGTGGGTATCTGTTGAATCGCTTTAGCATGATAGCATTCTCAGTGCATAGCTCATCTGTTGGGAGGGCATTGGCCTGCCATTTGAGTCTCTCATCAGCATTAGACAGGTACTGGAAAGTCAGACATTTTAACCAGACATTTCAAATGTGTTTTCATACATTGTGGCTAGTGCTGGTAGAAAATTTTAACTAACATTTTATCAAAAGCAATAACTGTTTTCAACAATAAATATATTGTACTTAGACTAACAACACAGCATTATTATAATGTAAAAATGGGAATGCATTAAATTTCATATTTTATTATATTTCAACAAGTAGTAACATGCTATTCTACTATCATGCAAAAAAGCTGATAGATTACAATTTTTGTTAGCTTTATATTCATTAAAGCATCAATATAATAAAAAAGAATAAAATTCAATGTCATAAATGCAGACAAGAAAAATAAGCAAAATGCAGATTATAATGTAGGCATTAATCAGAACCAAACCTAGCATAATTAGTAACAGATTGGAGAAAAAAATCAATGCCCTAGTAAATTATGTTTGACAGTATAAAAACTAGCATGATTTTTCTGTAACAAGCTAGTGGTAAGTCTGTCAATTTATAACAAATACATATGTTAGTGATAATAAAAGAGGAATATATAAATATGTTTAAAATATGATATTGCCTTTAGAAAAACTAAACAACAAAATTTACAAGAAAATATATTATCTATAATATATAACACATTGCTCATACAATTAAAGCTTTTTTTAAAACTATGTCAATATTTTTTCTTTACTAGCATTTAATCAATATTGTTATTTGAAAAGTTAGTTAATAATAAACAGCTTAGGCTTAATCATGCTCTATTATATAGAAAGAAGGTTAAAGAAAAAAAGTATGATTACAGTGAAGATTGGTAAATTTACATTAGCAAGCACAGCAAATAAAAATGCACACAAAAAAAAAGAACATCTTTTACCTCAGTTTTTGCAAGGTCAGTCCTGAATTGAATGTTGGCATTTTGCAGGTGTTCACACCAGTTGGAGAACAGTGTGTGACGCATCAGTTGATCAAAGTAGCCTGGGATACAGAGATCATAAACATTTTAGAACGGCTTAGTTTTAAAACAATTAAACAATTTCACTATTAGATAGTAAAATTTAGTTGGAAAATGGAAAGATGTAGGCACCCACAAATCCCATACTGTTATCTTTTGCCCCTACGGCAAAAACTGAACAGGCTGGGTGAAGCAATGCCTTGTTTTATTATTTGACAAACTAAAAACTGTACTCGATAAACTTGAACAAGTAAGTGGAAAAGTTTGTCATAAAATAATAAGAATACAATTACTACTAAAAATATAGTATAAGTTTAAAAAAAATTAAAGTAAATTTTCTACTAATACTTCACTGATAAACTAAACAATGTTCACATATGATTTTTTAAGGAATATTAATTCCTTAAAAAATCATGATCTGTTGTAAGCAATTACCTCCATAAGCCATGAATGCTGAAGAGAGGAGTACATCTCCTATAATGGTTGCCATCTGGTTCTTAAAAGTTTCACTGCCAAGCTCCCACCTTTGTTTTTCACTGGCAAGACTGTTCAATAAAGCCACACTGCGCTCAACCTGGTTTCATTAGAAAAACAACACAGTATACATCTGCTTTTTAACAAGTCTGGAAATCTAATGCTAATAAACAACCAACACCTAATAGTTAACCTTGTTCTCTTATAAACAAAGCAATATTTATTTAGTTAAAAAATAATACATTCCACAAACATTAGTGGTCAATCTGGTTTAAACAAAAGCATCTGTTATAAAAATGGTCTGAAAATCAAATGACAATCCAGTTATCAGTGGTCATACCTTAGCCTCTACTGATGCCAGATCTGCCTTGATGGCTTGTGCCTGGCTAATGAGCACAGCATACTCCTCCTTGTATTTAGCAATGCTGCGCTCCAGCTCAGCAATCAGCTTGTTCACCTCCTCAGCCTTCAGTCTGTTCTCCTCAGCTTGGTTTTCTAGCTCTGTCAGTTCATTCCTCAAGGGTTCAATTCTCTTCAGCATGTCAGCATACTGGATCTATACAAAGTAGGGCTCAACTTCAGCAGTTTATCAAATGCTGATATATATATATATATATATTGTTTGTAGGGATATACAAATATAATATGTAGGCACCCACAAATCCCAAACTGTTATCTCTTGCCCCTACGGCAAAAACTGAACAGGCTGGGTGAAGCAATGCCTTGTTTTATTATTTGACAAACTAAAAACTGTACACGATAGACTTGAACATGTAAGCAGAACAGTTTGTCACATGAGTCTTTACAAAGCATAAAAAGATATAAATGTAACAGCACAATATAATTTTATTTGAAGACCTAATCCTCATACTTCAATGGTAAAATAAAATTTGCATTCTTTTTTTTTAAAAGTCTAATATCTATAGTTTGAGCTTTCTCTCTTTAGCTAAATAGTTACCGTAACCAAATTAATACACACAGTAGCACATATATTCAAGCATATTTTTTTTCTTTACCTTAATAGAAATTAAAATATTAAAAAGGCTAATCCTAACTTTTTTTTTTACAAATTCAACTTCTCAGAAGTACAATACCTGTGCAATAGCCCATTTCACCATAGGACCACAAGCCAAACTGGCCCTATTGACCTTTTCATAATTGTATTCAGGGTTGTTCATGTATTTGCTCTTCATCTTTTGTCTGATGTCATCACTAGAAACATTTAAATTAAGAGTGATACAAGATGCTTTTATACATAGAAATAAATGATAAAAATGAGATGATGAACTTTTTCACTTTAAAAATATATTTGAACTCAATAAAATCCAAAATCTAATTTTCTGTCAAGACCAAACCTTTTTCTTAAAATCCAAAATCTAATTTTCTGTTAAGATCAAACTTTTTTCTGAGACAAAAACAAAGATATATATTTGCACATCAACAGAATTGTTAGAAATAAAAACTTACCTGTTGGCTGTACTCATCGAATTGGTGCAATACTTGTTAAACATTAAAAAATTTACAAACTAAAAAATAAAGGACTTACCTGAAATTACATTTCAGATACTATAAAATTCTAAGATTAATATTCAGCAGTTTTCTAATAACATATTATCTTTGTTTATTAAATTTTACCAAAACATTTACACCCAAAAAATGGTAATTGCAACTCCTTAAATTTCTAAGAAAATAATGTATCATTTCTTAAAAAAAGGCACTTTTTGTTTCAACTCTGTTCTTTATAAACTGGTAAAGTCCTCAAGATTTAAATCATAAAAGTGTTGAATGATTTAGACCTAAGGTCTAAGACACTGAATGGGTTGAGATAATGAGGAACAACAGCAACTTACGTTATGTCATCGGTCTTCATGTTTACAATAGAAGAGATGAAACTGTCTTTAATGATGATCTGGCGAATGACCTTCCAGTCAGTGGCACTCTCACCCAGTAATAGGCAGATGGCCTCTAGGGCCTGTTTGACCACAGGTGGAGGGTTACCCATTGACCTGATCTCCACCAGATCTTTCTTCTTGATTCCCTTGACAGCTGTACCAGGCCAGTCAAGGAGCAGCAGGAGTTGATTGAATCGCATTAAGTTACAAGTGTGGACTTAACACTAGCATCTTAATTGGTTTAGTCAAAATGAAAATCCCAGGAACAGAACTTAACATTAGCTTCTAACAAGGGGAACATTTCTGTATGTACAATTTATTGTGGTGTAAAATTAAAAGGTGAAGGAAAGAGGATGTTAAAAAAAAATGTAACTGAGGAAGATTTGATGTGAGGTAAAACAAAAGGGATTGGGAGGAACTAAAACTGAACAACTACAAAATATTCACACATCCATCAGTTTTCTGGTTATCATGCAGTTTAACCAATTCAGACAAACAATAAAATAAAAAACATCAATTACAAGCTTGTTCACAACCAACATTATAAAGCCAGTCAAAACACTCAGCATATAACACTGCATTTGATGTAGAGCTTGATTAAAGAATTCAAGTCAGCCTATTTTATTCCTTAAGTTTAATCAGTGACTGCATATGTGTGCAGAGGAAAGAATAGAATGCCTACTCATACACCCTTATCATAGAAAGAACAAAAATCTGCCCAATAGTAATAAAAGCATAAGGATTTGAGGTTTTATTTTTTTCTTTAGGTCAGTGCTTAAAATGCAGCTCTAAGCAGCTGCCAATACCATCTATAGCTAATGCCACTACTGGATATATTCAGCTTTTCTACTAAATTTTAGACACATCAAACAAAACAACTAGTCTTTTACTTACTTTTATGTAGATTGTCAATTCTTCATTTCTCACAAATTGCTCATGCAAATTTACCTCTGGTCCATGGGTATCATTTTTTAGCATAGAAAATATCTCGAAGACACTATATTATAGTATGCACAAGGCATATCAGACTTACGTAATATCATCAGTCTTGAAATTAACAATGGTTGAGATAAAGTTTTCTCTCATGATGATACCCCTAAGGGCCTTCCATTCTAAATCTGATTCCCCAAGCAAGACACAGATGGACTCTACCGCTAGCTTCACAGCAGCAGGCGGATTGTTCAAAGTTCGAACCTCGACCAAATGCTGCTTCTTGATAGACTTGACAGCTGGCATAAACAAAATGACAAAAAGCGCACCGGGTAAAGCAACAGCAACAGAACAACCAAAGACTACTGATATCCCCTGCATAAGGAGTGTTCATCAAGTAACATGCATTTATATGATAAAGTACCTCAACCATTAAGCTTTAGAGATAACAAAGGATTGTGAATTATCAGTTGTCATTTTTTTTGGCAAGTCTCCAACTAGAAATATACATTTAACTGTGAAAAAAATAACGAAATTTTTTGTTTTGAATTAGAATATTTTATCAATCAGATTATGTAAAAGGTAATTAATTTTAATCTAGGAAAAGACAACCAACAATTCACAGAGATGTAATAAGATCAGCATGCAGCAATATTTAAATGTGTACATTGAGTTTTAAACTAGTTTTAATACAAGTAAATAAGAATGATTCTATCTTTTAAAATATACTACTAAAATATACATGAAACACAAAATTCTTCCACATAGTCTGCTAAGGTTGAACATAGTAAGTATTATATTTGAAATACTTATTAATTTTGTACAATAACATGATTATTAGTTGTTGGGGGATACAAGCAAATTCAAGGTTTAAGGATTTTGAAAGTTAGGATTGATGGATCAGTTTATAAAAATAATTTGGAAAAAACCTTAACCACGAATAAAAAACATGCAGAATTGTTTTAGCAATTGTATTAAAAGGAAATTATGTAAAGAGGAAATTATATCAAAAGTGTATTTTCAATTTTAAAACTTATAAAAGTATTATTTTAACATGTCCCAGTATTTAAAACAGTTTCTTTTGACTAAGTAATTAAACACACAAAAAAAATGTATAATAAACATAAAAGAGAAATTTAAAATGCACTTTTGAGTTGTAATAAAACAGATGGAATGAAGAAGAAAAATGTGATAGATGTGGTAGAGCAAATATAAGAGTTTGAAATGCTTAAGAAAACCCATATGTTATTGCATAATATCAAATGTAATTTCCTCGCAAAATCTATTATTAAAATATTAACTCTTTTTCCCAGAAATTTGTAAACAACATTTAACAATTAAAATGAAAAGCATAGAATAAAATATTTTTAAATATACTCTCTTACCGTTTTGAGCCTCAATAACAGCTGGCTCAACCTGTTCAAGGTCAGCTCTAACACTACTCTGCTTCTCGGAAATCACCTTGGTTTGGTCTTTCAAAGCCTGCTGGATTTCCTGTGAGGTTACTTTCTTACGTTCTGCTTCTTGTTGATCTTTCACCTGTAAGTACGAGAGACATTTTATGATTTGAGACTCACTCAAGAGGGTAAATAACAATGAAACAATCTCTTGAAAAACTACATTCAGTTCGCTATTAAAAAAGCTTTCCATGTTCTGTGGACCAATTATATTTCTTTCTTTTGCTTTTAACTGTTTTTTCTGTAATATTCTTTGATGTCAACCTAATATAATTGCTCAGTCTTTCCAGTCATTGAATATACATACTATTTAGCTACTCAAAATAATGAAGTCAACATATTGTGCATTTTGGAAATTACTACTACATGTATAGGCTCTAGCATAAAAATACTTTGCAGGTTGATTAATGAGTTTATTGACATAGGTGTAATGAACATACTTTATAAAAATTGACAAAAACTATTGTTTTATTTTTGTGCAAGTGATACACCAACAATGAAAAATTTGTTTGAGAAATAAACTTGTACAATAACCGCAAATTTTTACTGACAACCTACAGTTCTAAATTAATTTCATATGTGAATGAGCTAACTGTGTACTAGTTTAAACAGAACATTTTGAGTAAACAACTTCAGGCTTTAACAAATTTCAAAACACAAATTTACTTATAAAAGAAACGTTTTTTTTTTGGGTCAATTAACTATTTTAAAAAAGTAAATAACTGGGTAATTTACCATCTGCTTGAGTTTAGCATTGGCGGCATTGTTCTTTTCTTCAAGTTCAATTCTCTTAATGGACAGAGACTTCTGAAGCTCCTCCACTTGTTCTACAGTTTCATGAATCTTCTGGAGACCAACGTTCAAATGCAACTGTTGCTCTTCCAGGTCTGAGCGCTTCTCATTGTACAGTTTGGCCTAAACAAGGAAAAAATATTTTTAATAAAATAGATCTAGTAATAAAACGACAGATAAACATTCTTTTTTAAATTACTGGAATATTTTCAATTAAATAACCAAGCTTACAATTGGACCAATTTTAAAAGACGTAAAATGCCAAGAGGACTTACAAAATGATTGATGAAATCCAAATAGTGTCTAGGTGTGATGGCCATCACACGCCCACTTCTACGAGCAACTTTGCTATTAGCCTTGTGTAGAGACTGGTGGACATACACAAAGCTGTCAATAACAGCCTCCCTGTGTGATGGGGTGGGTGGCAGTTTTTCATAGGCAGATGGGAACATATCTGGTGCAGTGTACTAGAGGAAACAAATACACAGTATTACACACAATACATTGGAAACTACTAAAATATTTAAAAACAAAGAATTTTCATTGTGGTCTCTTTTTAACATTCCATTTACTATTTATTATGTTATTACACTGATACTATGTTTTATTGATAAGTGACATTAATAAATTTGTAATTAAAAAGAAAACTCACAGATCCTTTCTCCAAGTCCATTTTGCATGTAAATTCTTTGCCAACCTGGAACAAGGCTCCGTTGGACCAATCTCCAAACCAGTTGAGGACACATCTAGAATTGATCATTTAAAAAAATTATATTTTAAATAAAAATCTTAAAGACTAATGGAGGCGAGCGAGTTGACGAGATTCCTTCCATAGTGTGGTTGACATGGAATAAAAACGTGCCTTTTAGATTTAGACCGTAAAAAAAAAAAAAAACTTAAGCCTAAAATTAATTTAGAAATTTTATATTTTTAGAATAAATGCTATAAAAGTTGCAAATCCAGAGAACTTGAAAATAATTTGTTGAGTTTAAGGCTACATTTCTATTTATTTTCATCAAGCCTAAGTTATAACCGGATGTTTCACTTTCGTAAGACAAATATTGATTGGCTGTACAGTAACTTAGTGATCGATAACTATTTGTTTACAAAACTTTGCAGATCAAGTTTTTAAATAACAATGCAAATTTAAAACCCCATGACCTAGTTTTCTATTTTTAGCTTACAATGTGTACAATAAAATTTGTGTCGGCCTATCCAATAGCAGGATGCCATTGTTTATGTCGCCATTACACGTGAAAACCAAATTGTTTTTGCTTTTTTTTAAATTTTTATTTAGTTACCGAAAATATTAAAAACATCAAATACGTCCAATCTTTAGTAAAGTCCGAAAAAAACCAGACAGACAGGATTTTATAACCATATTAATTGTAACTACGCCGTGCAAGATTTTTAAATTAATTTATGCACCTCTCAAATACCTTTGAGACTTTTCTCGCTTGTGTCCATTTAATAAAAGTAGAATCAACAAAAAGAAAATGGCTGTGTTTAAAAATGTAATGCACCTGTTAAAAAGAGCAGGAGATGTTGCTGCTCTGTCCTTCAATCCTTCTGATGATGGGTTCATTGTGAAAACAACATGAAGATTTCTGATAACCTAGAATGGGTAACATAAATTCATTACAACAAATTCTCTAACAAAAGCAACAACAAAATGTATGAACAACCTGTAAGCTTTATGTATATACCTGTGAAGTGAACCACTTGTATAATTCTTCAGCAGAATCCAGCATTAACCCTTCTCTGATAGCTCCTTCTTTGCACTGTGTCATCAGTGTGGTGTATTCATCCCCTTCAAACAAACCAGGAACTTCTCCGTTGGCCAACAGTGTATTCATTCTTTCAAGGAAACTTGAGTCAAGAACATTGGACTCATCCATTATGAAGCATATTTTTTCACTCTGCAAACAAAGAAGAATTGTTAACTATATAGGTTATTTATTAATTAAAATTAATTTTTAAACTGTTGTATTAATAGATGTATTTTGTTTACTTTGTTCTTAGCGTTAAAAATTTGATATATATATATATATATATATATATATATATATATATATATATATATATATATATATATATATATATATATTAGCAAATACTTGCCTTGCATCCAGCTCTTCGCAAAACAGAACGCAGATCTTCATCAAAATCATTAGCAGAGTACTTGTTGTGTACTTTAATCTGCACAACACTGAGGGCATTCATCCAAGCAACAAATCGAGAAAGGGTTGTCTTTCCAGAGCCACTGACACCAATCAACAGTAAATGACCCTGTGGCTGTCTGAAAATTCTGTCAATTCTGAGCACATGGTCAAGGACTTCATCAAACAACACCAGTGGGACATCAAGTTCTTCCTCATAAAACACCTTAGAAAATGATAATAAAATAGAAGCAATATATAAAAAAATTCAATCATTTAATTTACTATTTAAAAAACCTTGATCTAATCAAGTCTTACTTTCAGCCTTGCTTTAGTGTGCTCTCTCAACTCTTCTCTATCTACTGGCATGTAATCCTTTGATAACCATTTACTGTACAGAATGGGCCTATTGAGAGCCTCATTGCGATTGATGTTGGGGAAGTGTTTCAGTGCTGTAGCATCAACATTTTCATCAGTCCACCTTCTTTCTTCATCTTCAATGAGCCTGGAATTAGAAAACCACTATAATTTTACACAGAGCTTTATTAAATTCTACCATAAATGATAAAAATGGAGACATGTTTAAAGATATGTAACTCACAAAATTAGGGTGTTTTATAAGCACCCAACTCAAATGTATTATATATTTGCAAACTTCTAATATTCCAAACTGTATGTGGCTTATAAATAGTTAGTAAATGAATAACAAAATTTCATAGTAACTGTAATCAAAACTAAACAAAGAGAGTGAAATACAAGCAATCAAAACCAGCTAACGCAAAAAGCCAACTTCCAAGTGCTAAGATAATGAAGAGAAAAACAAACCTGTCTTGGAAAAGTCTTAGGGCTTCATGAGCCCAAATGCGTACAAGTCCTTCAAGACTAAGACTTTCAAGAGGTCTCAGAGCTTCACAGATACCCCTGACCCAGCGAGTCATTTCACGAGGGCTGTAAATGTAGTGAGGCTGCATGTCTTGTGTGAAGCGCTCCTATCAAATAAACAATTTCAAACAATGAAATTACAAGTTGGCAAATACATGTGCTGAAATTTACACACACAAAAAAAACACGAACTTATCTCATTACCTGTGACATAATGTAGAACTCAACCATAGCATTAGTGAGAGGATCTGCATATGGCTTGAGACTGGGAACAAGTCTTAGCATGGCTCTGTTGAATGTTCCATAGATCTGTTTCAGAGAGAGTTCTCCTGGGTAGTCAACATAAACAACTGGCACATGGCGAAGGAATCTGAGAAAGGATGAGACCAAAATTATTAAACTGAAAAGTAAAAAGAATCAATTTCACTGATTTTTAAAGGCAAACTTAAAAGGGCTAGTTATAAAGTTGTCTCACAGATTAACAAAAGGAAATTTTTAACAACATCTAGATCTGAATTAAGGAACAGATGTGTTTACATATTTTATGAAGTAGAAAATGGACGCTATTTTTGTTAATGTTAAGTAGGCCTACCTGTATGACAAAGGTTTCCTTCCTGGATCAGTAGGTGGATTACAGGCACCAACAAACTGGATACGTTCAAACTTGACCCAAGTCTGATCAACTGTTCGATAGAAACCACCATGTTCAACCATTTGGCGCAAGAAGGAAATGACACGCTGAGTACCTGGGAGGAAGAGAAAAAGATAACCATCATACATTTTAAGTTTACATACATAAGGAAAACAGATTAATAATTTTGTCAATATTTTTTTGTGTGTAAAATGTTTTCTAAACTAACTTTATGGTTAATATAAACCTGTAATAAATCTCAACAGCACATATAGAAAACTAAAAACAACTGACCATATTTGTCCATATCTGGTAGATTGATCTCATCACAGAACAAAACCAACCACTTGTTGAGCTGAACTGGGGAGAGAACAAGCCCATTGGGTGTCCTCCTGAACTCACAGTAGTGATCAAATGTCTTCAACAGCAGCTCGGGGGTGGTTGCACTGGAGAAGTTCAAGCCTACCACCTACAAAAATAAACACAATTTTTATCATGGTGTTGGTATTTTAAACCATTTCTCTTCTAATAGGGTTTGTAAGTCTCTATTTCTCTCTCTTAAAATTCATAATCTCGTTGGCTAGGGAGGGATATGATTTTTTAAAGTAAACTAATTAGTCTGAGCATGTTTTAAGCATGATTCCAATTGAAAACAATTGTTTCTAGGCCTTGCTTCAATATTTAAAATACAAAGAGTACCCAAAATGCACTAATTATAAACATTGTACTAATAACACAATCAAATTAAATGCAGGTACACTTAATTTATTAATAATATTGTGTAGCAACTATACGCTTCTTTAAAAACCACACAATTTGTGTAGGCTATATTTTCTTTTAGGCTATCCTCCATAGTGTAATCTATCATTAATACTGCTTAGTATTTAAAATAACAATAGCAGAAGTGGCTCTTTAATATATTTTACCAAAAAATCAAAAAAATTCTCATTTAGTTTGAAAAATACTAGCTGGCAATTACGAAAACAAGAAGTTGTTGACCTACAGCACTTAGAACTGGTTTAAGTTCTTACCTCCATATCTGGTAGAGCTCTAAGAGCACTGAACAATGTCATAGTTTTGCCAGAGCCAGGGGGGCCACACAACACAAGGGGCTTGTGCTCTGCCAGCCAAGTGTAAAGCAGACTTTCATGGCGCACAGTATCAATGGTTGGGATGACAATATCGGGTGCAGCCACTTTGTGGGTTTCTACCTCAACCTGAGGGACCTTGGTCTGCCAGGCAACCCATTCACCTGATGTAGACACCTGCATAAACCAAGATACAGTTTTACACATTCATTCCTTACTACTGCAAACTTTAAAAATACCTTTAACATGAAAAAATAAAAGTAATTTTTAAAATATTTATAACATGCGATTGCTTTAAAGATACAGACCTCAAAGTCAATGATGGCAACATTAGCTTGTGGTGGTAGAGGAATAGTGGTGATGCTTCTGATAAAATCACCAAGTTCTTGTCTGACTTTGATACGGCTGTCCCCTGACATGGACCACAATAAGCTGTACACAAGGTATTTGGTCATGTAGCGCTCAATTTGATCTTGCTGTAAGAAAAAATATATAAATCTAAGTGAAAACTGTGTAAACAAAATGTTGGGTTGGTAAATTAAACAGTTGTTAACATCAGTTTTTATCATATTTTAAAGATTGTTAATTTACCTGCATGGCAAAGTCATGAGTGTGGTTGTAGTTTAGGATATTTCTTATACCCTGGTTCAGCATTGAAAACAAGGAGGTCAGAGCTCTAAGTCTGGTGAAGTCCATGATGTGGTCAAGTGTCTCTGCATGCTCCAGGCATCTGTTGACCAGACCACCCAAAGAGAAGTGTGGGGCCAGGATGTTGACCACATCACGTTGAATCTATTGAAATATTTTCATGGATATTTATTTTCATATTTTACTTTAATCACTAATGAATTGAAAAGACAGTCGTTTATATTTCATTGACATCATCCAAGCAAAACTATTATACCTGTACTGTAGGTGATACTTCCTCCTCTTTAGCTTCTCCTCCTGCAGTTCTGTTGTGGCGGAAATCTTCCTCACTCTCTTCCAGGGGGACACTGCGCAGCTGCCTCAAGTAGTTCTCAAACACCATTTCAGTTGAGAGCACATCTTCACTGAACCACACCATGCCACATCGACTGACTGTGGCAAGGGTGGCATACTTCAAGTCTTGTACCTCAAACATTATACGAACCTACAGAACATAAAAAACAGATTTAAGTACTTGGTCAATTTGCTTCTTTTTAATATTTAAATTTACTTCAGCAGGCTCCTGAACACCATTGTGTTTTTAGAAACTGTTAGTCTTAAGCAAGATAGTCTAACTAAATAATTTAATTGAATAGATAATGTACTAACATTTGGAGGAATGCCAAGACGTTCTCCATTGGGTAAAGTCAAGAGTTTATTGTCATCAAGCACTGAGTTAAGATTCTCAACCCATTCAGGGTCCACATCACCATCAAATATGATCCACTGTCTTTTGCCAAGTTCACCTCTAACGTTGTCAATGATCCTGAAAATAATAGTTGGTACATTTTGACCTTTTTTTTTTAAAGCAACATTTGCCACAGTGACATTATTGAATTACAATGTGAAGATATGAACCATAAACTTGTGTTTTAAAGTAAAACGTTTTTTTTTTAGTAAAATCATTGCTTGATCTATAGGCTCAGCAAATGATACAGACTCAAATCTTTGCTAAATCACAATACTTTTATGTAAAATGAGCAATGTAAAGACATTTTCATTTAGCTAAAAGAAATTCAAGTGGCTTGACACAAAAAGTCTTAACAGAATATGCTGACTTACTTCCTCAAAACATGAGTGAAAAGACCATCAGTCCATTCTCTGGTGTTGGGATCCATGTTACCATACAGGGCTTCTTTGGAAATTGACTGTTCAAAAAATGAGAACGATAACAGTCAATTACAATACTTCTCATTCAATAGTGAACACTAAAGATGACTTAAGTCATAAAAGTAATCTGCCTAAAAAAATAATAACACATCACATAAAAGTGGTTTATGTAAAAATAAAAAGCCCATTACCTTGGGATCAATGACATGTGCAACTCCTTCAGTTCCTTCCAGCCTCTCAAGTGCCTTAAGTAACACCTGCCATGCCATAGACTTTCCACTTCCACTGGGTCCTACCATCATGAGACCATGATGTAGCAGTGTGATTTGATGCAGTTGAAGAACCTTGAGTTAAGTTAAAAGTTGCACAATTATTTCACATTCTTTAAATTCATGTAAAGACATGAAAAAATACAATTATTGTAAAATTAAAAAAACAAGCGTTAAGTACCTTTTCAACCCATTGTGATCCCATTTCATCACCTTCTCCATAAATGAGGTACATTTCATCACAAACTTTCTTAATTTGCTGGCGCAAGGCAGTCATTTCCGCTGCAGTGTATTCAACACCAGGGAACACATCACTCAGAAGGCTATGCAGCAGTGGAATGTCCTCAGCCACTAGTTTGGGCACCATAGTCTCCATCACACTTTGAATCAGGATCTACAAGTTCACAATTCATACATAGCTTATCATTTTATTAAGTAGATTATTTTTTACAAAACAATGATTTAAATAATTGCTGGTAGACCTACTTAATAAATCATAATCAGGACATATTCTAGGATATTTTTTGCAACTATCAATATGTTAACTGTAACCCTGACTTGATTCGTAATCACAGCCATGACCATAACCCTGACCAACAGTAATACATGCAGGGAAAAAAACTCTATGATACTGCTTTTGAAGAATGAAATCAACACTAATGTGACATGAAAATTACCTCTTGTTCAGAAACATTTTCAGCAATAGTAGACTCATCCACAGTCTCTCCTCTTTCTATCATGCCTTGTTTCACAAACTGAATCTTATCTCTCTTGACATTGCCAGCACTGACTAGCACAGACTTCAAAGCTCTCAGACCAAAGTCGTAATGGGACTGGGGGGACAGTTGTTCATCACAAAGTCTAGAAAAGAACAAATTGGTCAGTATTAATATATTAATTATTTCTCAAAATGCCTTAAATCGTAAAATTTACAAACATCTATACTAAATTAAAATCAACTTAGTTAAAAAAAACAATGAAATTAGTCAGATAAAAGTGAAATATTACATGAAGATAATTATTTAAATGATTTAACGTACTTGAAGAAGGGAACAATCTTGCTAGCTAACTTCTCAGCTTGTCTAAATCCCTGTGAGTAAAGCATAACCTGAGCAATCAACTGACGATCAGGTGTTGTCATGGCTAGAGATCTGAACAATTTTTTCAAGTTGTCAGGTAAGTTGGATCGACCTGCATAGCCAGGGTTCATGGTGATGAAGACAGCCATGTCTGGGTTGACCTTGACTTGCTTGCCTATCAATTCCACCTGTATGGGACCAGCACCTAAAGAAATAAGAATGTTTTACTTCATTACCATCTCTAATTTAAATAAGGTAGGTCAACATATGGCACATTTAAAGCTTTTGCCAAAATCACCAACCCAACCCTGTCCATCACTCTAACCTTTACCCTCCTGAAGACCCCAAATTAACTTCAATAAAATAAAATTGTCATGAAAGCAGTTTTTAAAATTATGACTATGAAAAAAGTGGAAATTTTACAAGTAGAAGGTGGGTAACAGAACCAAAAAAAGATGGATCGCCAAAAAAGATTTCTGTTATTTGCTATAAAAGTCAGTTGGCAACAAAATGTGAATTTTTTTTTTTCAGTGAAAAAGCAAATTTCCAAAAAAAAAGCAGAAGAAATTACATTTCTGAATTGGCATATTGAAAAATTACAATGAAGAGAGTGCTATACTCTACCTTTGTCTTTTTTATCTGGACTAGCCAGATCTTTGAGTGCTTCTTGAATGGTTTGAATCTGCTGGGACACAGCAGACAACATTCGCTCCTCCAGACGATTAAACTCATCAAAACAACCCCAAGCTCCTACTTGGCAGAGACCAACAAAAATACGACCCATGGCCTGCACACCAAAAACAATTTTCATCAGAATTTATTACAACTATTTGAAGAAATAAACAAAACATACAAGTTAGGTGTTAAATTACCTGGAAATCAAAGGTTTCATCACAGTTGAAAACCAGAACAAATCTTCCCAGCTGATTGCCCAAAGCTTTGACTGACTCTGTCTTGCCAGTTCCAGCAGGTCCTAGAGGATTAAAAAAATGGTTAAAATATTTTTTATTTTTAGTTTATTTTTAATCCACACCATTATCAGATATTTTTGGAGCATGAACAATTTTCAAATTTACATATATTTGTACTTGAAGATGCAAAAAAACTGAAGACATATTTTGAAAGTAATAAAGAAAATAATTACCAAATGGAGATCCACCAAGTCTTGCCTCCAAAGCCTGTGTCATGGTTAAGTAACAGCGATCAGTTAAGGGTGTCTGGACAAGTTTGTCTTGAACTCCAAGATATTCAAAGCCATAGTTGAACTTTGCATTGGCCATCTAGAATTAAGTAAAGAAATTTAGATTAGTCACAAACTACACTTGTAAACAGTACACAGCCAAAAAAAAGTATCGATAAAGCTAAACATTCATAATATATATAGCCTACCTGGATTGAGAGTTGCTGCAATACATCTGTGTTTTTAGGATCAAAGTAAAACCTCATTTGTGAAAGCCAATCAAATGATTTGGGGTTGTTGACGTGAGTCTTTATCATGGTTCTTGTTACATCACGCTGGTGGACAAGCTCTGTGATCTGAACCAATTTTTTAACCATTAGTCTGATATTTTACCACTTTCAAAACACGAATATACAAATATATTTAACAGGCTATAAAACAATAAATATTTTTAACTGGCTACATTAGTAAGGGAATATTAAAATCATTAAACTCACCAAACTTTCCAGTTTCTTCCGTCTGACAGGTGGCTGCTCATGAAGCACTGAATCTGCAAGAACATTTAGGGTAGACTCAACAGTTCCTAAAACTTCAACAATAGCAGCCATATCACCACCTTTGTTGGCAGAAGTCTGCAAGGCCTGATCCATGCTCTCTGACCAGGATATTTGGGCAGCCAAAACAACCAGTTGTGCCTTAAAGAATCAATTAACATTTTTTTTAAAGATGTCCTTTCTACTATATTAAACTTGTTATTTTGAAAATAAAAGTATTCAGAAAAGCTTTGTGTCAGTCATTAGTGATCTGAGACTCTAGCCCAAGTTTTCATCATTAAATTTCATAAATATAACTAGTTCTAAATAAACTATGACATACTTGATATTTGTCAACCCATGTCAGGTAGTGTGAGGGTTCCACTTTGCCTCCTTTGAAAGCTGACATGTCTTGGACAGCACTGGCCAACAGTTTAGCCAATGTCACCCTCATTTCTTTTTCAACCAAAGTCAGCCATTCATTTATCTTTGGATGGGCTGCAATAGACACTGGTGTGGCAAAGATGACCTAAAGAAAAGAATTTTTTTTAGCACAATGTTTTTTTTTTTACATCAAAGTAAACATCTGAATTTGTTTCTGACAAACTTCTAATAAGAGCCACTGTAAATCTGCATTACAATTTATAATTTTAGTGTTCTGATAAACTCCTTAGTTAGAGCCTTTACCTCCTCTCCTTCTTTAGATGTCAGACCAACAACATGAGACTCATCTTCATTCAGTATGATGGAGGCAACTCCAGCAAACATTTTTTTAAAGTGTTTCTGCAGACGTGGTATGTTCTTGCTGTTACCAATAATCTCAAGCAAATCTTCATCTCCAACAAAGTAGAATCTGGAAAGTTAAACAATATTGTAAATATTTTATTCACTTTCTAGCTTTGTCAAAAATATTGAGAAAATTATTATTTCGTGTACATTTTCTACTAATGTAATTTACCTGGGGAAAGAAGCTCTTTCTCTTTCCAAGTATTCTCCAAGTGCTTTTTGAATCTTGCTGAGCAGATCTGCAAGTCTCTCAAGCTGTCTCTGTACATTGGGGATATTCAGCACATCCATCACAAGTGGTGACTTGGCAACTTTTTTCATCAGACCCAAAAACTCTGTGCTGACACTGATAGAGGAATGTTTACATTATAGAAGAGCATGAGCTGTCAATTATAAAATGTACTTAGCAAAGAAAGAAATCTCTGCATTAAAATTTAGCCACTAACTTACCCTTGGAAACGTGTTGTTTCAACTTGAAGCAAATGCTTAATGTCAGCACTTCCAGTGAAGATTCCTTCAAGGTAGACCCATCTTCTCTGTACATCAATCCACACATCAAATAGTGCATTGATTCTGTTTAGTTTGTCTTCCCAAGACAGAGCATCTTCTTCAAATTGCTGAGTGAAAGAAAAAATAATAGTGGAATGAATACACAAATACTAAAAAGAAAAGGTGGTAAAGAAAAGAAAAATTTCAAAGTAAAAATAACAATTAAGAATAACAGATGCTAAAAAGTAATTACTAAAGGAAAAGTATTTGGAGTTGAAGTATTTCATTATCAAATAATATTTTTTTAATGCTGTTATCAAAATATTCTTACCTTGTAGTAAGGAGAAAGTTTCATAGCTGTAACACTGTTGATGTGTTCCTTCACCTTGGTAAAGAGATCATCCCATCCCCTGATGAGACGACACTTATTCTGGTAGTTGATCATGTCAAGCTCATAGCTGCGCCACACTTCACTGACCTATTGATACAAGGAGTTTTACAGCGGTGTAGTTAACAAGAAGTACATGGTTTTGTTTTTACTTATATTAAGAGCCAAAACTTCATGAAGCCTGTAGTTGTAAATAGAGTTTTAGGATTGCTGTTCAAGATTTAGTAATAAACTAACTACTTAAAATGAACTCCATGAACTCACCTGTTTTAAGAATTCCTCCAAGGCCATCTCACCTTGGGCAACCATGATGACATCTCTAATGGTGGGCTCATGTCTGACAAAATCAATGTCCCAAATATGTCCAAGGGTAAGCTCAGAGAGCACCCAGTTCACATTCAGTCTCTTCATTAGTTGCTTCCAGTGACGCTCCTTGAGTGCTTCAGATTTCAACTCCACAATCAGGACATTGACCTAACAATTAAAAATGTATATTAGAAATATTTCTACATCCTACATGATACAAATGATACTGTTATCTTTAGAATACTTACTTTGGCATACTGTTGTAACTGTTTCTTGACATATTCAAAAGATGAATAGGCTCTTAATCTGGCTGGCAAATCTTTCATTGTATTCAGAAGACCATCAATTGATTGGCGGATCTATTAAATGCAAAACAATAATTTAAAATTGTTCATCTGAAATGCTGTGCATTAGTTATGGCTCAAATTATCTTCATGAATTATAAACTAAATAAATACTGGATGTTGTGTTACTTTTTTATAATGAAAGAAAATTATTTAGTAAACAAAGTAACTTTTAGTTTACCTTTCTTGGTGCCACGGAGAGCCAAGGCTTTTCTTTAAGCTCATCAATTTGTTCCCAAATTTTGGCAAGTTCTTGCCAAACTCCTTTCAAGTCTTGCAGTTCTTCAAGTCCAACCTGCATGCGTTCATGGCTTGGACTGACATAGCCTACATCACAAAGTACAAAGCAATGTACATTCAAATTTTATAATAAATTAACTAAAAGGTAGTGCAAAATCTTCACAAATTATGAAAAAAGCTAAATATACTACCTGGTTCAGCAAGTTCCAAAGCTTCCTTTGCTTTTGCAACATTGTCTCTTTCTTCTTTAAGCCTGGCAAATTTACCTTCGAAGATGGTCAGAGATTTCAAAGCAATGTCTGGCCTCATCTCACCCTAAGTAATTTAAAAAACTGCATATAAACCAAAGTATATTTTCAATATGACTTTTTTAAGAAAGTGTATAACACCTTTTCATATTATGGATTGAATTATTTATAGTAGAAACATGTAATAAATAAAACAGCTTACAGTGACAGGTTTTTCTTTCTCCCACTCTTGCAACAAAGTTCCTGTCTTGTTCTCAATGAGATTGTCCTCAGAGGCAATCTTCATCTGCAAGCTTGCCACTCTTGTCTGGATGGAGGAATCTTTCCTCTTCATGATGTCAGAGAAGGCTCCCCATTCTCCCTCAATGTTGTCAATGTACAACCACTGAGCTGGGAACTGGAACCTTTGTCTTTCAAGGATGCGCTGACCCTCCTTGTATGTCTGTTGAAATGTTTTAGAGCAAAATGTAGCACAAAAATAAAGTTGATTTTTTTTTTTCAAATTACATTCTAAAGCTATAAACTTAGCTGTTATAGTAACTAAATTATTCAGTGGTTTAAGGTTATTCATCAAATAATGCATACCTCCACTTGTTTCTCCCAAGATTTGACCTTGCGCTTGAGAGCTTGTACATGGGTGATGAGACCAACAGCCTCAGAAGTGTTGGCTGTGTCAATAGACTGAGACTCTAGATCTGTTCTAGACTGAAAGTTATACATTAAAAATTAAACATTTCCCAGTTGGCACACAGAAAGAAATGTTTAGAAGAATTTGTTATTCAAATTATTAAAAAAAAAATGTGTTACACTTAACTGTTTTTTTTACCTTCTTTATTTGTTTGTGATTTCCATTAGTATAAGAATATATCAACTGCATAGTTGCTGTCTAAATTAAAGTAACTTACCTTTGAGACTTGAGAATGGAACTCAGCCATCTCATTGCCCAACAAAGATCCAAACTTGCTGAGCACCTCTTTATGCCAGGAATCATATTTCAATGACACTTTGGACTGTACCTAAAATTTAAGGAAATCAATAGATAAGAACTATCTTACTTTTCATATTTACTTTAAATGCTATTTTATACATTCCTAACATAAAACTTACTTTTCCAAATTGAACAATGAGTGGTCCAATCTCTTTCTGAGTTTCAGAAGTGTCAAAAGTTTTGCGAGATGCTCTGATAAAAAAATAATTTAAATTACCTTACATATTCATGGATTACTTTTCTTTCAAATGATCATGAATTTCAAAAGAAATATTCAGAAAATTATATTGTGCATCAGTCAAATTCAGAGACTCTAGCCAAATTTTCATCACAATTTAAATATTTTTCTGCACAGAAAACAAAATTGAACCTACTTGATATCTTCCAGTGCTTTCATCCATCTCACAAGATTGTTGCCAAGTCTATTGTAAAGAACATCCGGGTTCAAATCCCACAGAGACTGATATCTCAGCCAGACCTATACAGCAATTGTTAAACATGTTATGTAAACACTTGAAAAATTAAGCTGCATCACTGAAGTAGCAAATATTAGCTTTAGACAAGGTCAAATCGACATAAAGAGACAGGCTTGTATTTTTAGACCTTTTTCCATAATCAACAACTTACATTCACATATTTCCTGAACTCTTCAACTGTCTTCTGGATGGCTGAATAAGAAGATTCCAAAACAATAGGGCCCTCTGGTAACTTTGTGAGAACATTTCTGTATGTGCTGTCTGCTTCAGACTCAGCTTGTAGGCCAACCTTATTAAAAAAAGATTAAAGTTAGTTTTTCAATTTTATACAGTTATCAAAGTAAAATATAGTGTGATAGAAATTGTAAGACTTGAACCAACTTGGTATCTTGAATGCTGAATGCGTGGCAAACTTGTGATGACAGCCTCCCAAGCAAAGAGCTCTTGGAGAATGTTGAACTGAGCATCTTCCACAGGAGGACTCACATACATCAGTTGGTTGGTGATCCTCAACTCATGAACTAAGCTCTACACAATAGGACAAATCAGAACAATTTAATTTGTAAAATTCCCAGGATCTTGAAATTTAAAATATAGTTGAAAAGCAAACAAAAAAAATAATAATTGCACTCAGGAACTGACTTTGATCTTTGGATCTCCTCCAGGCTTGTGTGTTGGTTGTTTTGGTTCATCATCTGTGTCCATGGAGTGGTCAACATTACTGTCTCTTTGACCTAGAAGAGCCTGAGTCCAAGCTTTGAGACCAGCTTCCAAACGAGCTGCCAGTTTCTTCTCCACCTAAGACAAAGAAAACAGGCTATAAGTCATTTCATTTCATAATGTTGAATAATTCTGTAATAAAGAAAAGACTAATTTACTTACCAATATTATATAACCGAACATTAAAAGCGAATAGAAATTGAGATTACCTCTTCATCCAGATGTGCTACCCACAGAGGCAGATTTGAATATGAGCGAAGACTGAGGTTGTCAACTGCTTTCTGGATTCTGCTGAGAATTTCTCTAAAGATGGAAGCATTGTATGTACATGTCTCAAGTGCACGTACTTCAACATCAATCTCTTCCTCCATTGCCAAAAGATCATCAACCTAGATTTAATTAATAAAATGATATAAGATAAATAAGAATTGAACTATTTAAGTAATTTTTTTTGTCTTCATTGTAATTTCGTGATTGAATTTACTTGATTATAGAAGGCAAATTACACTTTAACTATTAATTGTTTTAAATTTTCTTTGTATTATTGATGATTAAAATTAATTTCTGTAAACATTTTTACATTTAAAGATTTTTTAGATTAATAAAAATAATCACTTCCAATATTTAACAAGATACAGCAACAAGTAATTATAATACCTATTAACTTTTAAACTATTACACACCTTTTCCTGGAAACTGATGACACTGTCAGCAAGTCTCTGAACATAAGGATCCAGTTTGTAAGATTCCCACTGAAGGCCGCAACCATCAGCTATCATGTTTTGTAAGTCTTTTCTCCATCCAGCAATCAAGAGCTTGAGTGATTCCTTGCCTTCAATCTATAACAGCATTGTTATACTATGTAAGAAACACCCTTTAACATATCTATTTCTGTACAAAAAAGTCAGCATTCAACTAACTCTACTTTCATATTACAAACTGAAGTTACTGACAATTGTTTTACCTTTTTCAATGTTTTATCATAGGACTGCACACTTTCCATGAGAGAAATGGCAAAAGGGTAAAGTTGGTTAGCCTGATGGGCTTTGTTGACATTAGCAAGTGGAACTCTGAAACCAAGCCATCTTAGATTGCGCACCTTAAAAGGAAAGAGAACAATGTGACAGCTACTTTTTTAACACTTTAAATCAGAATAATCTATGAAGAAATAGAACCAAGAGCTGTTTTTAAAGATTACTGACCTCCTTTGAAAGCTGAATGATCTCCCTCTGAAAGTTGACACCAAGTTTAAGGATGTTTCCTTTATTGGGCACTCTGACACTAGTGATAGTGTAGATTTTGCCCACAACTGTAAGCTGCTTGTTTTGAACCTGTTTCAAAGAATTTTATTGAAGTAGAAAATTGCATTGTATTTATGAATGAATAAAACAAATTTTTTGTAATAAATTAAAAGATTTTTTTAAAAAAAGAACAAATGTTTCCAAATTTGATTTTTTTTTTGAGAAAAGAATTTTACTTTTCGTGTCCAATCATCAAACAGCTCCTGTGTGTTGAGTTTCATTTTAAAACTGTCACCATCTGCTTTGAGCTTTTGTCCATCTACATGGTTTTCCCATCCCTTGCCAAGTACATCTTCTACACGGCGCATGTAAGCATTCAACTGGCGCTCAATCTGCAAACAAAAATAAGAAAATTTTTAATAAACATTTTAAAATTTGGGTTCTTACTTATATGTGCCTAGCTGACCAATTTTAACTAAAAAAAATAATGTTTATGCAGAGCACGTTTTTGAAATTAAAACAATTTCTTAAAATCCTAATTAGCATTGAATGCACAGAAATTAAAGCAGTCAAACTTAAAAAATTCTGTTCAAAGATAAGTTTACAAATATTTTTTAAATTACCTGTCTTGCCCAGATGATGGAACCTGACACTGGTGGAAAGTCTCTGACTTTGCTCATCTGACAGGCCTGGTTGTGTGCATACTGAACCTGTTTGCCAAAAAAAATTACAAAATTACAAGATGCAATTCCTAATAGTTTAATTTATTTTTCTTCTACCATTAAAAATACAATACATCTCTTTAGCTTCAAGTTTTAAAATGTATTTTCTAACCTTGAACTTTTCATGCAGTGACTCAATGTCATCTTTCACCCTCTGGATCAGTTGAGTCTGGTATTCTCTGATTGCACCACGGATGTGTGGTCTCACAAAGAGAGCATTGAAGCGAGAAAAGATGCGGAACATCTCATTGGCATTTCTTGCTGTGCCTAGCTGGTCTCTGAGCCTGGCTGTAATCCTGGTTTCAACACGGTCAATCCTCTCTTCATATCTGATTAGACAAAGATGGACTCATTAAAGAAAATGAAACTAACATAAAATATTAATTGTACAGTGAATAACAAAATCTCAAAGATAAAAGAGTTTTAAATTGTTACCAGAAGATTTTATAATAACAATGAAAATTATTTTCAGAATTATTTTCAGAAACCAACCTTTTGACTGCTGCCTCCCATGAATCTGCTCCTTCTTTAGAAACATCCAAGACATCAACTTCTTTAACATTTTCATAAGCCAAGTTGACTTCCTAAACATACATAGTACCATTGATATAATACACTGTAAATTTCAACTTTCATTAAATTATGAAAAATCAAAACATGCAACGTTTCAAAAAATTGAGTATCTTAGTTGTATGCAAGAATGTATTAAGATGTAGAGTTTTATAACTGTTAAAGGCCTACTAATTAAAAATAATTACTAACTTCAATTGCATTAGCATCGGCAGCTTCATCTGTGACTGGTTTGTCTTTCACCTCTGGCTCCTCACTGCCTGGTGATGATCCTCTCTTCACTGTGACAGGGCGAAGTACACGAATAATCACTTGGCGTAGCTGTTCATGTTGGCGACGGAATCTTTAAAATGGAAATATTTAAATGAATAACAACTAGGAAATTCAGATTTTTTTTAATACACAGTAAAGAAAGTAAATAATTGCTATTGATATTTTTTCTAATCATATATCTTAAAAATTAAAGTAAAATGATTAAATTAAAGATATACAGTAAAAATGAACATAAATTTTATCAACTTTTTATCAGCATAATTAAAAAGTACAAAAATTTCACCAACTTTCTCATGTGCTCAATGCGTGCCTGTAGCCTCTTGTGAGCTGGGTTCACTCTCCAGACCATGCGCAAATGCTCTTCTCTCTTCTTTTTCACCAGATCCCTCAGCATACCCTGCAGCTTGTCAAACTCATCATCCCATGAGGAGAACACCTCAAAGCTAGCTCCCATTACCTGATTTAGTAAGTTTATACAAGGTAGGTAAATAAAAGTAAATAATACATGTTTAAAATAAACTTTAAAGACATACACACAAAAAATGAATTTAAACTTGCCTTTTCAAACTCATCAAAAGGTATGTGCATCAACCGTCTAGTTCCAAGAATCTGAAATTGCGTTAAGTCAAATATCAAACATCTATTCATGATTATTTAATTTATTTTTAAAGCTGTTTAAGACCATGAAAAAAATTGATAAAATTGAATAATATATTTGTACTCATGGTAGCTATTTCTATAACAACTCAACAGAAAAAAAGTGTAACCTTCAACATCTGAGTGCTCAAATCTCTGGAGATAGCTTCCACTAATCTTAACCCTCGCTGGATTGGGTATTTTGTGGAGCGAATCTTGCGCAAGTGAAGGAAAATTCCTTGAACAGCTAGTTTAATTCTGTCCAGCTCTGAGGCTGAGAGAAGATCATTGATGGGGAAATCCTTCATCAGCTGATTGTAGTCATTCACAGTGGCCATGGCTTGTTTCAGTCCTGTGACGAAGGAAAAAGTTATATACTAATAGATAACACTTTCTTAATACTATAATACATTAATTTTAGGTTTTTTTAAAAATGCGAAATTCACTTTAGTTGTATTTAGTACTATTAAATGTCATATAATCTGCATTTTAAAAATAAAATTAATGTTGTATAAAATTCGAGTTATTTTCTATTTGTGAGAGTAAAACAGACAGAAGCAATGGTATCATACAAAAATTTGGATTTAAAAAAATGTATGAACATTATCCTCTACCTGTATCAGAGTCAAAACTGACAGTAGCATGGAAACGTTTGCCATGTTTCAGTATGTCTAGTGTGAGCACAACTTCAATGCTTTCTCTCTTTTCTTGGATTCGGAGGAGGGCACGTTCTAAATTGAGCCAAAAACTGATTTCTTGCAGAGCTGTACCTGACGACGGATCTCTGTCTAATTTTGTCACCTGGAATTTTCATGTTTAGAATACTTAATCGTTATACAATAAAATTCTAAGTAAGATACAAGTTCAATAAGTATTTAGATTTAATTTAACTTTATCAAACAAAACTAAATGTACCTTTTGAATCTCTCTAATCCACCTGTTGACACCACTTTGAAGATTGTTTAAAAACTGAGCATCATCAACCTTGTCACCAAACTCTTCAACCTAGAGATTCATAAAAATGTTGTGATATATTTTCCTTCTAAATACATTAACAGAAGTTTGTAATTTTTATAAAATTATTTAAATATTAGGGATATTACTTTTGGCTTTCTGCTTTCTTCACCACACTTCTTTATCACACTTAGCACTAAGGGGTTGACAGGTAGGTTTATCTCAGGGATGTCAATGTTCTGCTGCAGGTGCAGAAGTCCCATTTCTAGCTCAGCAATCTTCTTTTCTACAGTGGGGGCCATTTTATCTCCATCCCTGATAAACAAGTTTAATGGTTAAATTTAATTTTATGAAAACAAATATTATGCATCAATTCCCTTATTTAAAAAAAAAAGTAAATGATTATAATTTTTTAAATTACCTTTCTGCCTTTCCAGTTTCTTTGATGTAAGACTTAAAATATGGGCCAACTGCATTGCTGATGTATGCATGCAAGGTTTCATATGGTGATCCTTCACTAAAGTTCATGATTCGCAGCTGAGATGCCAGCCCTTTATCCCCTTCCAATTGAGGTCCTCTCTTGATGAACACAACACTGAAATTTAAGAAATGGCATAAAAAGTTTTTCAAAATTTAAAAAAATTTATTAAACATTAACTTCACTGGAAAAAATTAATTAATGAATACCCAGCCATTTTTGGAAAAAAATTAATTAATAAATACCTAGCCATTTTTGAACTGCCAAAATGTACATCTGTTGAAATGCTGTAAGGGGAGTTATTGCTATCTGCATCTCCATCACCAGATTCTTCAGAGTCATCTATTAATTGAAAAAAAAAATTGACAAATCACACTTTAGCTACATAAGTATGCCAAAATGTTCATTTTCTCAAAAAAAAATATATCCAAAACCTAAATTTTAAATGTATATATTACAATGTCTAAAGTATACATACTTGACAGAACCAAATTATTTCACAACTTTTTAAATACATTATCTTCAAAATCTCTAAGCCAAAACTAGTTTTTAAAATGCTTCTAGCAGTTGTGTTACTAATAAGACTGTCTGTACATTTTATAACAGTCTTTTCTTAAACGTCACCAACTTTGAATAGGTGTCAAATATCTGGAAAGCTGATGCCAGCTGTAGCTTAAGGCTTAAGCTTAAAGATTTTCAGTGACAGATGTACAATAATCAAGCATAAGCCTTGCCAACTGGATGATGACTCAGAAGGCCTAATCAATAAAGTAATAAAGCTAACTGTAACCATGTGTGGTATTCCCATATAATATAAAAAGACTGGGACAAATTTTTTGTACTATTTTTAATATTAACCCTAATAATTTGAACTAGAGTCTATATTGTAGAAAGCCCTTATTAGTACTAATAGCCCTTATTAGTACTAATAGTATGACATCCTACTACTAATAAACTAATCTTTTTACAAAAAGTATTGTACTTCACTTCAAAGTAGAATCTAAATCTAGTCTAGATTCTAGATCTAGTATAAATCTCCTCTCAAGGGACCTAGAGACTTGACAATAATAGAACTGTAAGCTGGACATTTAGTATACTATTTAGTAGCCCCCCACCCCCCTCCATGTCTTAATTTTTATAATTAAAAAATACTACAATAGATAGGCCTACTGATAGGCCATAGGCCTAACTATTACTAAACTAGGGTTGTCGGCATCCGCCGAGTTCGCGGTAAAAACATGACCCGAAATCGCCCATTACTTTCTGATACCGGACCCACGAGATTTGGTTTTGCATACTAATAAGTTTTTAATTTATGGTAATTAATTAAGTTTAAAAGGTCATTTCCTAAGGTTAATTAAAAAGTAGAGTGGTTGTCCCTTAGTTTTAATGGCTTTGCGACCTGATTGCATGCTGTCTCTGCTTTGGTCTTCCCCCTGTATCAAGGTTAGTTTCAAATACGTTGGAATCTCGATTTTTTAAAAAATTCCTCTAGATGAGAGTAGATTACTGATCAGACATATCTTAAGTAATTGGAAATGAAATTTGTTTTTGGATATTTTGACTCCGACATTAGTTATACCCCTCCGAACGTAGTCACTGTATGTAGGTCACGCTGCCACCATTGTTATATTTTTTCATCCCGATCTTCCTGCCTTTAAGTTTGATCAACTAATAACAGCAATCTTATGGCATGTGCAAACAAATCTAATTTTTTATTTCAAAATATATTTACATACCCATCTTTAATTTTTTCAGCTCTAGTTCTATTTTTCTAGAATATGTTTTTCCTAAAAATCCAATTTTGTCAGACTAGACTCTCGACTGACAAGAGTCAGACTCTGGATCTAGGTTACCTGTCTGTTGCTATACACTAACATTGTGCTAACTGTAATTTTAAGTATTCAAGTTCTACTTACCCTTAGATATAGTTATATGCTGAAAATCAGAATCCATACACAATTCACAGATAAAAACATTGATCTGATAACTTCATTTCACTTATTACAAAATGGCTTTTATATGGACTCTACTTCACCTGCCCAAAATAACAAGGCAGTTATAGACACATTACAGTGTTCATGTCATTTACTTTAGATTTCTGACTATGGAGTTCTTTCATTCACTGTATTTATATAAAATATTGCTTTAGAAACATTTTCATATTTGCGCAGCAGTTTTATAACAAAATGGCTTAAAGATGGACTCTACTTCACCTGCCCAAAATAATGAGGCAATTATATGCACATAACAGTGTTCAAGTCATTTACTTTAGATTTCTAACTTTGTAGTTCTTTCATTTGCTGTATTTATATAAAATATGGCTTTAGAAACATTTTCATATTTGCGCAGCACACAGTTTTTTGGGGTTATGGGAGGAAGCCAACACAAAAATATAAGTTCTGTATTATTTTTATTAATTTCAACAGCATTTACAAGTTCTATATATCATTCTAGTTAAACTCTGCAAATATGAACAAAATACAACTGCAAGTAAAATAACTATGCTCAATTTATTCAGGTATACCATGACTTGTCACAATTGGCCAATGCAAAAGCAAGGGGATTCCACCCCTCACAAAAAAATTCGCCAAAAAAAAACTATTTGAGCTAGACAGAAAATCTTTTTTGTTTTGTTTTCATATAGTTGAGCTCTACAAGAATATGTAATTTTTATTTTTATATGATGATTAGTGTTTTTTTACCTAAATCCCTAACTAAACTAAGTTGTTGGGGGCGGGGGGGGGGGGGGGTGTCTAAAAAAATTCACTAACCTTTTACGGCTGCCCTCTGAACAATCAGTGATGGTGCCTGTGGGTCATTCAAAAACTTCTTAATAGCTTCTAAATGCTGTTTGTCTGTAACAGCAGCCTGCAGAGCCTTGAGATCTGGATCATCGTCGTCTAAGAGCACTGGAACAACCTTGCGAAAATAGACCAGGAAAGCAGGTACCTCCATTGCCTGCACTGGAACAGGTGCCGCTTGAGGTGTTCCTGCGACCTCTTGGTCGGCCAAATCAGCCATCCTGGCTGTTGGTCAAGATACGACTTTCTTGATTTTAAATCGCCAGGACTAGATTCAATGTTCGAACAAAATTCTTACAGATATTGAAAATCGATTGTATATTTATGAGGTGGAGACCGGATATAAGTAGGGAGCAGCTAGCAGCCGATCATCCGGGCTTCTGCTTAAAAGATAACTCTAAATGTAAAATAATATTTAATGGTTAACTCCCTTATATAAATTGAATTCTGATGCATTTTTCTCTGCATAAATAAAATGATGATAAATCTAGAATTGAGACCCCTAGTGCGGTTTTAATATCGAAATATTGAGGTGGTCCAGGATACAGTGGTTTCCTATAATCTTTTTATTTTATATTTACACGGAAATCACTAAATATAATTACGCTATCACCAACTGTATGCATTAATAAATGTCCGTATATGTTAAAACTGCTTTTTTTTTACTATGGCGCACAACATGAGCTAGTAGGCAATTTTTAAAAATATTTAAAAATTATCCTAAGTAACACCTATCATTTTCTCTAATGAATAGTTTTTCAACCAAAATGTATGTTTTAAATTAGACTAGACCGGAGCTAATTATTTTTCCTTGTAAGAATGTTCGATAATCAGATAACCAAATAACACAATATATGTTAAAACGGTTGTTTCCCTTAGTACTATACAAGACATCAAAATCTTTACTATAAGGCCGAAAAAGTGGCAAGAGAAAAATAAAAATTATTCTTCGCAGTAGTTAAAAGTGAATGTCATAATTTTACAGACATATCCTAAAATCACAAATTGAAAGTCGGTACTATGACACGTCCTTAGTTTATTCTGATTCAGCCTAGGGTATCGACTAGTGGACAATATAAACGGGAGACTTGTACAGAGGCGTATCAAACCATTACAGCGCCCGGGGCGAACTATCGATTTTGCACCCCCCCTCCTACATATTTATATATTTATTCACGTTAGCGAAAATGGACCCCTTCCCCCACCACACACAAACACACACACACACACACACAGAGGAGTAAATAGTAATCGTTAATAGTTTTTCCCGTATCACACAAGCAACGTAGAAAGCCGTCCATAGAACCAAATAGCTTTCTATTTTCTTTAATTCGACTGTAATGCAGTTCAGAATAAGGATGTTATTGTATTTTCTACCTAATTTGGTGCCCTCCCTTAGCTACGCCTCTGGACTTGTCAAGCTTCATCCAGTACCCCTCATGAAATAAGCTCATATTTACTGACGATATATCAGGAAGTGATCCGCATGCATACATCATAGTCTCAATTAAATAATGCTGTATCGATATAAAATCGATTCGTTTCAAGGCTTATCTAGGGTAGGTATCGAATCAGAGGCGTAGCGAGGGCGGGGCGGAGGGTGCGGGCCGCACCGGGTACAAATTTAAGTACAAATTTATATAGATAAATACTTTTTTTTTTGGGGGGGGGGGGGGGTGACACCACTAAGTGCCGCACTGGGTGACACCCGACCTAGCGACGCCACTCTATCGAATGGTTAGATTTTAGTATCGATTCCTTGAGATAAAGCCGATTGGCGTAGAGACTTGGTATTAAAATCAGTTTTTGTTAATTTAAAACGAAAATTTCTGTTAGTGCCATTAAAATAGTGTTGTTAAAATAGAATATATTTTTTTTCGTAACGGTTACATTTAAGATGATCTGTTGCCTCTCTTTCACCCACACTTTCAGAGGCGTAGAGAGGGGGGGGGGCGGGGGTTGGGCACATATGTCCCCGGGCGCCGACCTTAGAGGGCGCCAAAATGGGTTGGAGAAACAAATCGAAAGTTTTAGGGGGGGGGCTGCAAATCGAAAGTTTTAGGGCGGGGGCTGCAAATCGAAAGTTTGAGGGGGGGGGGGGGGGGTGCAAATCGAAAGTTCGTCCCCGGTCGCCGGGAAGGGTCGCTACGCCTCTGCACACTTTTTAAATTTTAAAAATTATCTATTATGTTTGTTATGGGTTTTTAAAATATAAATAGATCTACACGCTATTCCAAAATTCACCAGGTAAAACTGACAAAACCAGGACACTTGTTGCTTGTATTTTTGGGCTTTTTAAAAAAAAAATTATATTTGCGTAGGCCCACATGACTACATTCCAGACTTTGTAGCACATGTCTGTATAAGATAAAGCAAGCAAAATAAAATAAAAACATTTAGGAACATTTAATTTTTTTTTAAAAGAAAGACTCGTGCAAAAAGGAAAAAAAAATTGAACAAGGGGAAGCCACCACATAAAGAGAGTTAAAACAAGGGAGACCACCGCACAGCTTCTTCCTGTTTGCTTGTTTACAAACAGCCCAGCTGAACAAATATAACATGCACGCAACACCGTGCTGGCTCAAGGGCGAGTAGGGGAGGGGAGGAGGGAGCAGACAAATTATATTGACTCTGTTGGATAGAGCAATTATGGCATTTTGGTGTGTTTTTTTTTTTTTTTTTTTTTTTTTTGTATACAGGCCATGTCAGATTGATACGTCAACAAAGAAAATTGTATTTTTAGTTGTCAATATACCATAATTTGTTTTTAAAACACGTGTAAACAAAGATAAATTAAGACAATGACTGTCTATATATAAATATTACTTAACAGATGGGTATCGTTGAATAGAAACAACCTCAACGTAGTTAAAACTAGGTAAAGCATACACGCTCGACATACCTCATCCATGATCCATAGTTCCCTACCCTAAATCTAACAAACCCTACTTCATCCTCCCACTTTACCCTCACCCCTCCCACCCCACCCCTCCAATCTCTCGACTTACACAAGTCATATAACATACACCGAAACCCATTTGCTTACCATCATAAACAAATTCAAAGTCATTTTCTAATGACCCATCCACACACCATCACGAAAATCTCACAATTCCAACCTACCCTAACCAAGGCTTAACGCTAATCGGTTTTACCTCATGGTATCGATATTAATAGTCATACAACTCAATACCTACTATAAATAAGTCTTAACATTATCCGATTATGCTTTATGATATCGATACAGCATTAACCTACCCTAACCTCAAACTTATACCTCAAGGTAACTATACCAAAATCTAACAACTCAATACATACCCTAACTAAGCCTAACACTAATCGATTACACTTCATGATATCGATACAACATTATTCAATTGAAACTATGATTCGACGCATGCGCAGCACGTTCTGCAGCTCGTATGTAAAGATGAGCATGTGTCATAACAGATGATTGTGACGAACATGTGTTGACAGTAATGACAGTCCAAGTAACCTGGCTAGACTTGTTTATTTTTTGTTTTTTTTATTTAATTACTGACAGTTGTTCCTGAAAATCGCTTTATGTCAGTTACATCATTGGGGCGGGGATACCTTTTAGAGGATGCCACCAAATCGAAAATATCGTAAAATGTACTGTCGAAATAATCGGAGCACAATCAAAATCATATCTCAAGAAAATCGTTCTAATCTGTCCACAACATCAAAGCTTGATATTATAAACATGTTTAAATTATTTTTTTTTCACATTTTAATTTTAAGAAAATAACATCCTGTTGAATTCACCGAATGTGGGTCATGTTAAGGCAAAATTGATCTACTATCTGGTCCTTATTTTTAATGAATATTTTTTAAAAATTAATTAAACGTTTAATTATTCCAGAAGTCACGTAAATGTACATTATTACAGTGATTGTATCACGTTTGAAACAAAATATGCTCTCAATGTTTCTTTCAGGCATCTCATCAGGCGCCCGCACCACCCCCACCCACACCCGCCACCCCCGAACGAAATAGAATTTATACAGAAAATGTACAATTTTACCAGTGTCCAACTAGGAAAGTCACCCACCCCCTAAAAATTCAAGTCCCCCCTCTCCCCTAAATTAAAAAAAAGTCTGAAAGAAACACTGTCAGCTCGTAAGAAGTAGGTGGAATTTCTTTAGCAAGTTGTCGACCCCCAGGCAACATGACGGACAACGTGACAAGGAATCAAGGGGTAAAAAAATATATATATATCGTACATGAGGTTTTAAAAGTGTCTTTCTATTTTCATGATAAATATAGCTGATGACGAACTACGTGGGTCTAACGCCGTTTCTTTTTTCGGAAATATCCGAAAATATCGGAAATAATGACAAATCAAAGTAGGCTTGCTGACATAAGTCAGACGTGTTATGTATCTGTGGATTTCTAATCCAATCCTGTCCTGCTGTATTTAATATTGCATTACGCTTTGTGAGGTTTCGCTAAAAATAAACACGCCAGGCAACCCCGCAGTCTCATTCAGTCTTACATCATCACTAATACTGTTCCACATACGAGCTTTCCGATTGGCTAAGCAGAAGACATGCGACTGACCCAGTTATTTTTAGCTCCGGTCACATGACATTTTTGTTGATAGTCAGCGAGGAAGGTTGATTGCTACATTCAGTCGACGGGATCGTTCATTCAGCAGCAGACGGCTTTCTCATACCGGGAGTGTTTAAGTAAGGATTGGAATCTCCCTTTGTCAGGATTTTTTAACGGTTATTTCGAAAGGAATGTGTAATCACTGTACGAAGGTTTATATTTCAGTTTATCAACGTGACAACGTGATGTAAATTATTTAAATCGTGATACGTTTTTGTATTAAAAATTGTTTTACTAGATTTAAGAATCTAACTTTCTAAACCATATTATTTATAATTTATTGTAGTCAGTGCAGTGATCAGTGTACGTCAGTATAGATCTAGACTAGACTCTAGAATCTAGATCTAGAATCTAGATTCTAGATCTAGATATCTAGATCTAGTGTTGTAGTAAATACTATGAAAAACTTAAAGATTTTTATAAATTGATTAATTGTATTTTATATTTTAATGAGCGTATTGTTAATTCATGTGTTTATTTATACTTTTATTATACAGTATAACTCATACTCAGTTCCGAATCTACTAAGTCTAGTGAGGTTTTAAACTAAAGTATTGTGTTATTTTATATCCTAATTTATAACTTAGTCTATTGGTCATCAGACATCACGTATAATACAATAAATGAAGAAAAGTAAAAAAAAAATATTGTTTTATGTACGATACTGATGTAGGCCTATACGTAATGGATCAGTTTAGTACTATTGTTTTACGATACAGATGTAGATCTAGATCTAGATCTAGATTCTAGATGTATCTACGGTCTTTAGTATAGATTAGTTGTTGAAATCGTAAAAGAGTTTAGCTTGTCAGTATTTTCTAAATCCCTAATCATCTTTTAGAAACACACAAATCTATACAATATTATTAACCTATAGAATCTAGTTATTAAGTAAACAGTAGTATGTATTATGTTTGTCAGACTCATTCAACACTACACACTGTGTATTTTTAAACAGCTCTGGTGTGCTCGAATATCACGTGACAGTCCATCTGGTTACTGTTGGACATACAACAGCAGAAGGTCTAGGCTTGGAGGGTTGGGCGTGGTGTTGTATAGTGGTTATGTGTATGGCCTACAACTAGACAGTACTCTAGGGTTGTGTTATCATATATACTCTAAAAACACTAGCTGAATTATAAATTTGAAATGATGTATGTTTAGCCAAACAGGACAGTTCTCTGTTAAATCTTGTCATAGACCTCCATGTCAGTTAGCCATACCGTAGCCAGATTAGATATACAGTCGAAGTGTCTACCTTAAACGTAAGCCTAAACACGAATTCTAACCTTAACTCTCACAGGATTACTTGTAAGAAAGCCATACCATATCCAGGTGTGTTTATCTTAAAAATCGAATTGTAGCCCCCACTATGAAAGATGAATTTTTCTCTTTTAACCATATTTGCTAATAGTGTGTCTAGCTTCAGAATGTTAAAATTCTTAACGATGAATATATTTTGTTGTAAATTTGTCATGTCATGTCATGTCATGTCATGTTTGCCTGTCGTCCCTACTGGGACATAGGCCGCTGACAAGAGCTTTCCAGACATCTCTGTCCAGGGCTAGTCTCTCCAACTGTCCCCAGGTGTATCCAATCTTCTTGGTGTCTTCTTCCAGGTCACGTCTCCAGGTCTTTCTTGGTCTGCCTCTCTTCCTCCTGCCTTGTGGATTCCAGGTGAGGGCCTGTCTTATTATGCTGGATACAGGCTTCCTGAGTGTGTGGCCAATCCATTTCCATTTTCTCTGGAGGATCTCTACTTCCACTGGCAGTTGATTTGTCCGTTGCCATAGAACATCATTTCTGATGGTTTTAGGCCAGCGAATTCGCAGGATCTTTCTGAGACATGCGTTTATAAATGATTGTATTTTCTTCTTATTTATAGCAGTTATTCTCCATGTCTCAGCTCCATAGAGTAAAACAGGTTTTACTAGTGTGTTGAAGATCCGGATTTTTATTCTAAGGGTTAAATCTCCCGAACCCCAAACATTTTTTAGTTGGTTGAAGACTGCTCTTGCCTTACCCGTCCTTATTTTTATGTCTGCTTCTGTCCCACCCTGCTTATCAACAATACTTCCAAGGTAGGTGAATCTATCCACTTCTTCTAGGGCTTCTTCTGCCAGTGTTATAGGGTTGTTGTTTGATGCATTGACTTTGAGAACTTTACTTTTCCCTCTGTGGATGTTCAGACCCAGGCTTGTAGAAAAATTTGCAACCCTGTTGGTTTTATCCTGCATTTGCTGTTGTGTGTGAGAAAGGAGGGCCAGGTCGTCAGCAAAGTCCAGGTCATCCAGCTGGCTCCACAATGTCCACTGTATACCGTTTCGCGTTTTCTCTGTTGACATCTTCATAACCCAGTCTATGGCCAGTAGGAACAGGAATGGTGAAAGTAGGCAACCCTGCCTTACTCCGGTCCGTACTGGGAAGGCCTCTGTAGTCTGTTGACCATGCACTACTCTACATTTGAGACCTTCATATGAAGACATAATAATGTTGACTACTCTGTAAATTTAATTTCATAATTATTTTGTGATATATATTATTATATTTTTTTAATACTTCTCTAACGAGCCTACACGCTCTTAGGCAGTATGAAATAATCTGTTTAGATTCGGCTCACACACCAAATTAGTTCGCTTGCACGCGCTCGCCTATATTATCTACTTAAATATCCAGTCCATGCCATGTTACACCCATGTTTAAAAAAAAAAAAACAACACAAATATGACCTAGAAATCTAAAATATATTTAGCCTGAGCGATTTAAAAAAAAAAATGAATTTTTATATTAGATTATTATATTTGTCTTTCATGGCCTGATGTTGAAGATATTTTATCAGGATTATTTAAACACTGCACGATTTTGTTCTTTTCTGAGTCGCCCGTAGCAGACCCCACCCTTTCGTCTAATCTACAGCAGCCGACACGACCTACCATTTTTTTATTAAACAGCCATGCCGCGTTCCCTCGGCTTTACGCTAAACTAAATTCAACTGGTGTGTTAAAAAGTTTAAGATTTTTTAACGAAATAATAAAAACCTTGTTTGATTTCTATTTCAGAAATATTCAAAATAGAAATTTTCAAACACACGTGCTGTGTAGAAGAGAAGAGTGAGTCAAAACCAGTTTTTAAAAAAAGTGAAGTGTTTTTAAGTAGGTCACATTTTTACCGGAATAATTCATCGTGTTTAACTACACAGAAAAAAAAACAACCAGCGAGGATTAAAGAATAAAGAAAGAAAAAAAATGACTGTATGCAATCATAAAGAAAAAGACATGGATTACAAGTGCATGAACGAGAAGAAGAGCAACGTGAAATGTGTGGTGGTGGGGGACGCTATGGTGGGGAAGACCAGCCTCTCCCGGCGGCTGGCCTGTCTAGGATTTGCCCAGGACTATAACCCGACCACGTTCGACAACTATGCAGGTGAGTAGTTCCAGCAGTCAAGGTCGTTTGCCTGAACATCCCCTCCACCCGGGTGTATATTTCCCTGTTGTAACTTTACTAAAAATGAGTTTGCTGCTTTAGAAAAACGGGGAAGAAGTGGGGTGGGGGGGGGGGGGGGTTACAGGTACATTTTAGTACCGGCTACATTATGTCATACAAACTTCAAGGTTCCTTTTTGCAGGGTAGGGTTGAAATGTATTCGCTACTTAAATAGGTTAGTCCTAAAATGGGGTCTATGTCTATAGTCTATATATTTTTTTATGATTCATCCTTTCCTTAACTGCATTTGTTCGAAAAAATGTGAAAAGACTTCTTCGCTAATAAAATTATCAATTACGTATTTAATTTTTTTCCCAATTCATATTCGGCTAACATGCAGCAGTTCAGAGCTAGGCTAAGGACTGGACTTAAAATGTGGGCGCTAAATAGAAAAGACCCAAAGAAAAAAAGAACCATTTTATTTTTCTATTTTATCTTTTTCTTCTTATCACTTCCCCTTTCTGCTCTTGTAGACCAAAAAAAATAAAAATACGTCGCGAGTTTTTGAAAAATGACCCATTCTTCCTTTTCTCGTGATTCTTATGTTTATATTTATATCCTACACTAATAATAGACTACACACTAATCTAGCGGCTGGGGGGCCGTCTCACAACAAAGGGACATCACCGGAGAAAAGGGATGTAACTTATTTCCAAATATAGACTAGATTATGCGGTTCATATTGTTGAGTAAAAATGTAAAGACATTTTTCTTAAGGTTTTTCTTGGCTGTTGTTGTTGACAAAGTTTAGTATTTCATAAACATTGTTCAGCCTGCCAAAAAAATAAAAAAAAATATCGATCTCTCATTTCTTAAAGAAGTGAGGGATTATTTTAAGCTTTATGCTGGGATGTTTTAAGACAGTTATGGGTCGATTTCTGTACTGTTCTACCGTTACAGGTCGGCCTAACCTTTTTGAAATATTTTGTCTGAGATAATATGGTATTGTCTTCGTGGCGCTTCTCGCCCCCCGGGGGGTTAACTGCTCACCTGAACAGTGTACTCAACAATCGGGTATCGCATGGGGGTGGAGTTGGTGGGTGGGGGGGGGGGGGGGCAACAGAAGATAGTAAAGAATAAATAGAATTTGGAAAATCTAGGTTTTGGGTTTTTGTTTTGTTTTTATATGCTCGGAATACATTTTTAGTTTGGGTGTGAAGTGTATATTCAAGGTAAAGATTTTATTGGGCAATAGGTTTAAAGTTTTCGTTTCAAGAATGAAGGTTTAAGGATAGTGTTTTGTTTCAGTAATCGACAGTGCTCGCTTGAAAGGTTAAATTTCCGTTCGCTTCAAGATTAGTGCGACGCGGGGGACCAATACATGGTTCACATTTTAAATTAATTCATCGGCTCTTTGTAGTTTGAGCAAAACCACCAAGCCAATGGTAATTCTAACCGGACGTCTGTCACGTGTTACCTGGACAACAAACCCCCACGGACAAGCTGACTTTACCACTTCAGCCAACTGACCTTACTAATTCGGCCAACTGACCATCTGGTTCTTTAAATTGCTGTCACTACCTCGACAGATGTGCTGTCGTTTTTTTTTTGTTTTTTTTTAAAGAAATATAAACAGCTAATTTAAAATCACCCGTAACCATAACAACCCTGAATATAAAAAAAAAAATCCCCTTCAGACTCAGCGCTATTTTGTGACGAGCAGTAAACATTAAATTCCGGCTTGATAACCGGGTCTTGTGTACAACGTGGGGACATAAATATTCATGACCCGGGGCGGCGCGTAGGTGGACAGCCACTGTGACAATACCCCCCCCCTCCCCACTTTATCCTCTGGCCTTTTTGTCTGTGTTGACGAATCAATTCAAACCATATCGATCCATTCCATTCATGACAGTGCGCACTTAATCTAACCCTCTTCCCCCCCCCCCCTCTCACCCCACGACATACATTGTGTTTCCATCCCTGTTATGGTAATTAAAGTTCGACTACCTCTTGTAGGGGGGGGGGGATACATGTGTAGCATTTATTATAACACCCCCCTCCCCCCGCCTCTACACTTGATGTCCGTATACTGGTATAAATATGATCGGAATAATTTTTTTCCCTTAGCACTGTTAGTGTAAGCTTGTACGTAATTAGAAATTGCGTAATGCAGTCGCATAGGGCTTAGGTTAGGGATAGGCTTTTAAATTAGCTGGGAATGTTAGGTGTATGTTGTTAGGTATTCATATATATAGTTTTAAAAAATAATTCTCTCGGTTACTAAGGATAAGAAAAAAAAAACACTTAAAGGTTGCTACAACTTTTAACATAAGACACATTTTAGTCTAATTCTAACTATGCATCCCCTTCCTACACACACACACTCACACGCACACACACACACACACACTAACTCACACTCAGTCATTTGAATGAAATACTTTAATATATATCCTTGCCCATATGAGATTGAAGGGAGCAAAGTTTGTCTATTTAAACAAATATGTCTCATTATCTAATCACCTTTTACTTGTATGTTCTATTCCTACCTTCAACACTATCAAGGTATCCGTTTCTCTATTAACAGATAATGCAAAACAGTAATTGTCAGTTATTTTTTGCTTTACACCTTTAGTCCTTTAGTTAGTGATCAGTTTATTTTAGTCTCGTTCTGCTTTAAAAAAAACTTAAATACGACATCCTGTAACTTTATCAGATTATACGTTGTCTAGATACGGCCTAGACACCTTAAAAAAAAAGCTTTCGGATTTTAAAATGCCAAGAGCCATTCAAAGGATGAGTGCATCCCCATCAACCCTATCTAACTTTGACCTGAATCTTTTAATAGTTTTTTGCACGGTGTTTTTCTTTTTTTTTTAATGTTTTTTTTTAACTTATGTAAGGTTTATTTAAAGGGAGAAGGTAATCTTGACTGTGAAGTTATGCTATGTTGTATTGTAATACATTATAATTATAAGTGTTACGAAAATCCATTACCAATTTTAGCCGTCACAGCCTGATAATCATGTGACCCTCATTCCGTCCGTGGTAGGCTCTCTTGTCACAGGTGTTAAATATATCCGTGAACACAACTCACCTGTGACACCTGGGCGATCAAGCTATCACTAGTAATTAATCCCGTTATATCATATTTTAAATTGAATAAAAATCATCTTCAAATTAATTCGAATGACTAATTTATTATCTAGTAAGATTTGTAAAAAAAAAAAAAAATAGATCGTCTTGCGTTGTCATCGGATTGTATCTTATCTGGAAATTTTAAAACGAAATAGCTGCGTTAGAAATTGGTGAAAATTAGTTACAATGTTTAAACGTAGACATACAGACGTTGTAATCTAAAGTAAAAACTTGAAATAAAAAATGAGTTTGTTAAGAAACCAAAAAAAAACCTATTCCACCATACCAGAGAAAACCGGGAAAACCCATTAAAATCTAGATCTACTTTATCTCATTATGTCGTACTTTTGGGTGGGTAGCGGGGAGTGCCTGGGGAGGAGGGGGTGGGGGGCATCGCTAACCGACTTCTGCAGCCGGTGAGCCGGAGCAGGTCAGCTAGTAAAAGTCACGTGTGGGTACAGCTGCAGCAGACGTCTGATACTGTACAGTCTGGAAGATAAGGACGGTAGTTAATTTAGTATGTTTCCTGATAAGATTCTGTGTCATTTTCTTCTATCTGTTTACATTCCGAAGTTTTTATATAGAAAGTTAAAATTTGAAGGGGAAAAAATGTAATTTATGTTTTAGATTTTTATATGAACTGTAGGCATTAGCAGGCTACATAAACATATTTGCTTAGTTTTTATTCCTTTATTTTAATAGTAGACCTATATGGTTTATAGTAACATACGATCAATTAAATAGTCGTATCATAGCTTACCTACGAATAACTAATACTCTCTTGCTTTTAAAAAAAAAAATTAGAACGAAGTGCTTGTCTTCCCCACACAAAAAAACAAAACAAAACAACAAAACGAACTTTAAAAAAAAACCATAATATAAAAAAAAACTAGCAGTTTAAAAATAGTTTATTATAAATATTATAAAGTTTAGGACTTAAAATAACTCACTGAAGAATATAAAACAGAGATGTATTTCCACTCTTTATTTACAAATAATGTCACAGTCCTATAAAAAAGTGTGTTTCTCTGCAACCATCCTTATTTACGTTGAAATGCCCAAACAAGATGTTATCAGCTACGCTGTCGTCATTCATAACTACAACACCCCATAGGTAAACAAATAAAAATGTAAATACCTTTGGGTCTGAGATTATTCTCAAGACTGTTTGCTAGTGACTTTCATTTTACCTGAACTTATCCCTATACATTGTTACAGTCGTGGTAACTTTTCTCTAAACGGAACTTACCCCTTTTTTTATGACGTACATAAGATCTAGACTTTAACTGATACAAATAGTGAAGCTATAGATAGATAGACCGATGTTAGGATTTCGACATCTAACGTTATTGTGATACGCATATCATATCCCCCCCACTGTGCGCCACCAATCCTTTGTTGACTGCAACAAAGTCTGCTTCACTCTCGCTAGGGGGTCGGGGGTGTGACCTGGCCACACCCCAGCTGGTGACGCCACTCGTTTATCGCAGACGTAAAATCGGTCATCACGCGTCGTCCAAGTGAGTTGTCATCGGAAAATTTTTGTCACCGGGAATCTATACTTGTGACAGGGAATCTATACTTGTCACCGGGAATCTATATTTGTCACCGGGAATCTATACTTGTGACAATGAAAATACTATTGTCACCGGGAATCTATAATTATCATCGGGAATCTTTATAATACTTTCTTAACCTCGTTGGTCTTGCTTTGGTTTTATTCTTTTCGGAAATTTCTCCTTTAGGGTGTATGTGTTTGTGTATGCGTTCACGCATGTGTGCGTTTGTATATTGCGATTAATATGTATATATGCGAGAATGTATTTTACGAGTCATATTAAAGCATTCTAATAAGCACC